TTTTCTTTTTCCTTTTTATTGGTACCAGGGATTGAACTCACGACTGCCTGCTCGCAAGGCAGGCACTTATGCCGCTGAGCTAAATCCCCAGCCCCGATAATGCTATATTTTGAGACAAGATCGCAGTAGGTTGCCTAGGGTGGGCTAGAACTTTTGATCCTCCTGCTTCAGCTTCCCGAAGTGCTAGTACAGATGTGCACTGTCACACCCGGTTTATTCATTTCTTAACCTCTTCTTGTTGCTTTTCCTCAACTGCTGGTAATTCCCTGGTGACAGGATCGTCTTTGTGAACTAAGGGTGGGCTGCCCCAGGTGTTTGTGTAGGGAGCTCCCTCCACCCCAGCAGCATGCACAGAGGCTAGAGAGGACCCTGTATTGAGCTCAGTCCTTTGGGATGTGCTGATCCCCCAGAAAACCTCACCCTGCTTTGGCTCTGATCACCTGGGTCCCCATTCATCCCTCACTGCAAGCCCTCATCTTCTTCTCTTCTAGAAGTGACTCAGAATTTGTGCACAAGGGAACCTCTGTCCCCCTCCCCCCACGCCTGAACCATCCTGTTCCTGGCTGGGTCACTACAGATTGATTTCCTTTGCCCTTTCCTTACTGGGCTTGCAGTGGGACTGGAGGGGCTGTGAGTGGTAGAAGCTTGGTCCCCACCACCACTCAGAACTAGAGGCTGGTGGTTTGCTTTGCTGTGTCTCTGCTCTGCTGGAGATGGAACCCTTGGCCTCGAGAGTGTCTCTGTGCCCCAGTCCTGTGTGCGGGTCCAGAAGCTCCTGCCTTCATGCAGCTCTGCACAGAGGGTGCCCGGACCCTTCCCGGAGGAGAAGGCAGGAGCAGTAAACTGGCCCTTTCCATTTCCCTTGAGACCTCCTCTTCTCTGAGAACCTCTGCCCTCAAGCCCAGCCTTGGTGGGCTTCTCACCTAGGACTGAGGTTGTCAGGGAGGAGGTGGCCCTCAGTCTCCCTCTTACAGGGTCAGAAGGGGTGAGGACCTTTGCATGAGGAGGCAGGAGAGTTAATGGGACAGGGGACAGGCTATATTAAGTGACTAAACAGGTGGGAGTCACTTTGGGTAGGTGGGGAGGGGACAGCCTTCAGCCACCGTCACAGACAGAACCACAGCAGAGGCAACATTCAACAGAGTTCTTCCCATGTTCCAGGCCCAGGAAAGTTCTTCACACACTTATTTCTCCATGGCCACATAGTAGGTGAGTGATGTGTCTGGATTGAACCCAGCTCTGTATGAGTCCCAGGCTCTTTCCCACAGACTGCAGTCTGACCAGAGTGAGATCTCCTTTGCGCCGCTGGAGCCAGAGCTGTCCACTATGCAGAAGCACCAGCAGGGGCTGAGGGCTGAGGGCGCGGGAAGTGGAGGGCTCTGGCACCCTCTGGGGGAGACGGGAGGCTCTGCAGAGGCACGTACAAGGGGCAGGCAGGGCCTAGGCTAGAGTCTGGGGAGGTCCACAGAATGAATGAGTTAACCTGGGCCCATTCTCCTCCACACTGACACCTCAGGATTTACCCCGGCACATCCTCTGTCAGAATAAAGGCATGAGGCCTTGTGACTAACTTCTGGCTAACTAGATACAGGTAAAAATGTAGTGTGGTCTTTAAGGAATTATAAAGCAGGACATGTGGTCTGCTCTGTCTCTCCTTCCATTCAGCCTTCTGGAAAGCAGGTATAATGGTGGCGCTGAAGCCGCCATCTTGGAGCATGAGTAGAAGCAGTCCAGTGAGTTCAGCTGAGCAAAACCCAAGAAAGGTCTAGTTTGATAAAGACTGGGAAGTTGCTGTTATGGTTTAGATCTAAAATGTCTCCCCAAAGTCTCCTGTTTTTGGAGGGGGATCAGATCACAGTGTTACACTCACCAATGGGTGCACTGCAGATGAGTTCAGTAGCTGACAGTTTTTTGGTTTTTGATACAGGGTCTTACTATATAGTTCAAGCTGGTCTTGAACTCGCTATGACCCAGGCTCACCTTGGACTCCCAGTGACCTGCCCACGTCAGCCTCCTGAGTGTTAGGATTGCAGGCGTGGGCTGTCATACCCTACAAGTAACTGAAAGCACTGCTGGTAGATGGGGCCTGTTTTGGAGGTGGGTCACCGGGGGTGTGATCAGAGAAAAAAGTATCCTTGTCCCTGGCTCCTCCTTGCCCTCTCTCAGCTTCCTGGCTGCCGAGAGAGGAACAGCTTTTCTCTGCCAGACTTTTCCACCGTGCCCTTTGAGCTTTGGAGCCAGCAGGCTGTGGACTGAAACTTTGAGCAGAAAGGACCCTCACTCCTCTAAATCCTGGAGGCTGGGTACTCTGTCCCTGTTTGTAGAGTTGCCATATCAACATTAGCACAGGGACGCAATCTTCTAATCTCAGCTCTTGAGAGACTGAGGCAGGAGAGTTATAGTGAATTTGAGGCCAGCCTAGAATATACAGCAAGACCCTGACTCAAAAAAACCAAACGAAACAAACTCTCAGTCTATCTCAGTTTCTGTCTCTGTCTGTCTCTTCTCTCTCTCTCTCTCTCTCTCTCTCTCTCTCTCTCTCTCTCCATATATATATGATACCAATGCCAACTTGAGAGAAATGGAGTTATGTTTCTTATTTTATTTATTTTTATTGGTCATGTTTGTGGTACATAATAACGGCATTCCTCTTGGGGAACTGGTACATTTACACAACACATCTTAATTGTTTTGTTTGTCCCCTTCTCCTCTTCTACATTTCTAATACATTTCTAGTTTGTTTAGTCTGTTGGGTCTTAGTACTTGAAACAGATATATTTATTTATCTGTTTTGTAGCCAGAAATGTTTGCCTTAGGGCAAATTCTCAAACATTCCCATACCTGGGTTTTTCAGGTGTTTGTTGTTTTGTTTTTGAGAGCTTTTTTTTTTTGTTGTTTTTTGTTTTGGTTTTTTTGAGACAGGGTCTTGCATTCCTTCAGAGGAATGCAGTTAAGGTTGGATTTGAGCTTACTTTGTAGCCCAGGTTGGTCTTGAACTTGCAACAATCTTCCTGCCTCAGCCTCCTGAGTGCTGAGATTACAAATGTGCACCACCACACCTGACAATACTTTGGTTCTTGTATCTGGAGTGAGTATCTTAGGCCCTCTCGCAGAGTATGTGTGGAGGCTCCAAGTTTTTACCTATCGATAAATTACCTTGTAATTTTTGTTCCCTAAACTCATAGAAATGATGGTAAGCAGTGCTCCCCGACTGGGCAAGGAAGATGAGTCCTACTCTTTTACCCTAAGGAGGGTAAGCAGGTTGGGTATGTCATGGATTGTGTCTAGCTATCCCCCAAAAGCTTCATGTGGTCACAGGTGGGGCTTTCGGAGGTGGATGGATCTAGAATGTGTGATGCTGGAATCTGGTGTGCAATGCTAGCGTTAAGGGTGTAAGTGTTACCTGCCCTAAGAGCAAGTAGCCTGGATAAGACATATGAATCCAAAAGACATGTGAGTCCCTTGTCACATGCTGCTTGCTGTTTGGATGCTTTTGCTGCCTTGTTGCTGCCCTGGACTGTTTCTCTTCTGCAGTGCCCCTCTGCCATGCCAACCTGCCTTGGAGCCAGCAACTATGGACTGAAACAAAAATAATGTGAATTGTGAGCCAAAATAAACCTTTCCTCCTTTAACTTTGGGTGTTGGTTATTTTGTCTTAACACCTAGAAAAAAACCAACTAAGACAAGCATGCTGCTGTTGTGCTAGGCCTCAGATGGCTAATGTAGCTAAACAAGCAGCCATACAATTCCCCAAAGTACCCGGCCCAGAGCCCACAATGGCTCATGTGGGTCTGAGGAGGCTGGACCTAGCCCAGGGGGCTGGTTTCTATGTGTCCCACTCATCTTTCATCCTCTTCGGACCAGAGGGCTGGCTGAATCTGCCCTTTGTCCAGCGGTGGCCCAGATGCACATGGGAGGCTGCAGCATGAGGACACCCCTGGACTTGCCTATGTCACATCCACTCACATCTACTGGCCAGGGTGAGTCATGTAGCTAAGACAGAATCAAAGGCAGGAGTGGGACAGGAGGTGGTATGAAATGAAGGTATCTGCAGAGGAAAGCTTGGCACCAATATGTCACTGTCTCACAGTCCTAGAGACACTGAGGAAGGAAGCAACAAAGTGAACCCCATGGGTTTTGATCAGAAGAGAAAATGACCCAAGTTTGTAATGTCCAGATGGGTGACAATGAAGCACAGAATGACGGCTAATCTCTCAGGCCCTGAGGATGTCAGGATAGAAGGTTGCCAACGTATGCTTTAGGCCACTGTGACCAGAAATCTGGATCCACCCTGATTTAGGGTTTCACTCACTTTAGATCTGCATGTGTAAGTCAGCCCACAGGGTCCAGGGGCCTGGTCTGCCATCTTGGGTTCCCACAAGACAGGCAGGGCTGAATTGAGCTGAATCTGAGTTGCAAAAATTTTTTAAAAATGTGTTGTCACTTGCATCTTGGGTTGTTTGGAACAATTAACATCTGTTTGATGTGTCAAGTACATGTAGTAGCCCCTTTAAAAAAATGGGCTCTGGAATTGTAACTGTCTCCTCTGTGCTGGGTTCTTCTTCTACCTTAAATATAAGGGACAGTAAGGAAGGGTCATTCTATCTAACCTTTGGAGTGTCCTGGATATTGGAACCCTCAGGTTTCCACAAGTAGGACTTGCTTCTTATAGAGGCCACAGGAAGCCCTTTAGAGGACATGGAAAATAAGGCAGACTTGGTCTGGGTACCCTGACATCTCCCGCCAACATTGGGCTCCACTCCTTCCCTGTCAGCAGAAAACTCCTCTCCTCCTCCCAGTCTCCCCTCAAAGTGGCTCAGAGAGAGGTGGGTGGGCATGACTGTGAATAAGATACCTCACCCCCTTCTTATTTGCTTGAGAGGAGACTTTTCCTCCACCCCACTCCCACCCCCACCCCACTTCTGCTTGCTCATGTCCTAAAGAGTCCCAGGCTATCCGGAGACTTTCCTGACTCCATCCTTCCTGTCTTGGTGTTGTGCAAGGCTGCAGCTGCCTCCCTGACCCAGGAGCTCTGGGTTAGGCAGAGAACTAATGCTCTAGGAAAGAGGAAGCCAAGCCAAGTCCTGATCCTCATCGATTGGGGTGCAGAGTCAAGGAGCCAGCTGCATGCACCAGGAGCTCCGGCTGCTCCTGGGGCAACTTCCTTCTTGAGCAGGTACTGCTGACCTGGGGCCTGGGGCTAGGGGAATGGAGGGGGAAGGGCCAGAGCTTGTGGAGGACATATGAATGTGATTGCTGGACCATAAAACAAACCCAAGCCAGACACACGAATCAAAGCTGAACTCAGAACCCAAGTCTCCCCACCACCCTAAATCTTCCCAAACCACAGCCCGCTTGCAGACTTATCCCCACCCCACTGCAGCCCCAGCCCTGATCTCAGCTTCCCCTCACCGACATGGCATTGGCAACCACTTCCCAATTACCTTCCTCATGCAACCCCATCCTCCCCACCACCCGACCCCAGCTCCCTTATCCCAGCCAGACCTTCACTTGTCCTGGTCATCATGTGCAGCCAACTCCAGGTGGCATCCACCCCCAGCCACTGCTCTGTACTGCGCCCCCAGAAACCACAATCCCAGCCTGAATTCTATCCCAATCTTCATGCTACCATGCCCAGAGGCTGCCCTCACTCTAACCCAACCTCATTCTACTTTGTCCATCACCTCTGCACCTGTCCATGGACGGCCCCATCTTGGCCCACACAGCTCAGGGAGTAGATATGCTGGCCAGGACCATACAGAGCCTGGCTAAGAAGCCAAATGCAAGCTTTCTGCTGCTTGTGCCAAAGCCAATGCACAGTTTTTGGGGTTTTTTTTGGTCTTTTTCCTTTTTATCAGTACCAGGGACTGAACTCACGACTGCCTGCTTTCAAGGCAAGCGCTTATGCCGCTGAGCTAAATCCCCAGCCCCCAATGCACAGTTTTCGTAAATTCTATGGCTTGCAGAATGAATTTTGGGCCTGTGTTTTGGGGATTTCCTCTATTTTGAAGACAATCTATTCCTAGACTGGCCTGACTGTACCCTGACTTCCTGTCTTTGGACCAGAGCCCTCCAGCTGCCTGTACCACCCCATGTCCCTTCTTCTCCAGCCATATAGGGAAGTTGGGGAGAAGGCTGGTGCTGGGAAACAGAAACTGAATTCTATATCCAGTCACAGCTGGCTACAGTGAAATGACCTTTGTCCTATCTTGCCTGGATGCACTCAGCCTTGGTGTCAGAGGTCAGGGATTTGGGGCCTCAACCCGCCTAGATGTTCTGGGACCATCGGTCTCACATGCAGCAAATGTAGGCCCCCTTGGAATCCCAACCCAGGCTATCCCAACCCAATCTGATTCCAATTCCTGGAGCGAGGACTAAAACCCTGCCTTTGGAGCACCCAAGACTTGGGAACACAAGGGTGAATGTGTGGGTGCAATGCTGTTCCAGAGAGTCACTGTTTAAGGGAGGGCCACATTCCCTGGTACCTTCATTCTTCACCCCTTTCCCAGGACTAAAATCACTGCCACTAGGGGGCACTGGGCACTCACTAGGCCCAGCCACCCCAACCCAAACCCAGGAGCACCTTCACCTCTGCATCAAGTATCTCACAGGGACAAGAGCCTCTCTGGGTTTGTGCCTGCTCTTTCTTTTTCCAGGACAATTCTGTGGGCCGAGGCAGGCCTTTGGTGAGACAGGATAAGTCAGTGATGGCAAATCTTTTAAAGCTTTCAGCAGTAACCAACAGCCTGCTGCAGCATGTGTGCCACGGGCTCGTCACCACTAAGCCAATAAGGGGCTCCAATGGAGTGGAGTGTGAGGTTGGCACTGGGATAGGCATAGGTGACATCCACCAAGTGTTCTGGATGCTTCTAGAAAGTTTTCCTACACACTTCCTTTCTGGGGTCCATATGTCCACATCCACCATCTCTCCATGAGCTTCAGTATTACCCTGTTTAGGACCCCAAACAGGAAGACCCAGGGGCCTGGGGACTCAGCTTGTGGATATCCCTAGCTGCAGTGTGTCTGAGCTGCCTCCTGATGCCAAAGCCTGGTGCTCAGCTTAGGGGTAAAAATCCCTGGAAACAGAGCAGGCCTCGGACTGCCCCCAGCTGAGCACAGCTCTTGGTTGCCTGGCCGGTAGAGTTTTTCTTGTTGTGCCCATGCCCTTGCTGCACTCTCTGCTAGGATGTCCCTTCCACCTTCTGTCCCAAGCTAAGCATTGTATCTCAGTCCCATCCAAACCCAGTCTGTGCTCTGCCCTTTCCCAGGTGTGCCCTAGGGTAGCTAGCAGTCAGCTGAGGCAGATGGGCTGGGGCGTGGGAGATGTCATGCATTTCCTGTCCCCATTCTCAACTTCGCCAAACCCTCCTACCATCTGGTGAGTCAGCAGACACCAAGGAGGATTGCAAAGTTGACAGTGTGTGTGTGTGTGTGTGTGTGTGTGTGTGTGTGTGTGTGTGTAGATGGTGCCAGGTGCATTTTAGATGATTTCCCGCTTGACTGCCTCAAGTATACTTGGCAGCAGTAAGTATATGTGCAATATTGTGTAACAATCCCACTGTCTCTTTCCAGAACTTTCTCAGCATCCACACAGAGACTGCTTTCATTCAACGCTAACTCTCACTCTCTCCTCCCCCAGCTGCTGGTAACCTGTATTCCACGTCTTGTCTCTAGGAATTTATATTCTAGAAGTTCCACGGAGTGGAACTATACACTACTCACCCTTTTGTGTCTGACTGATTACACTCGATGTTTTCAGCCAGGTGTGGTACCCATGCCTGGAATCTCAGCTAATTTGAATGCTGAGGCAGGAAGACTGAATGTTCAAAGCCAGTCTAGGCAACTTAGCAGCATCCCGTCTGAAAATTAAAAATACATGAAAGGGCCTGGGATATAGCTGAAAACTCCCTGGATGCAGCCCCCAGTACTGAGAAACAAAACTGTACTGTTTCTAAGGTTGGCCTGAGATATAACCAGGGTTGGAATGTCACCCCTCACCCCACTGCTGCTCCATTGTATGCATATGGTGTATTTTCCTTGTCCATTCTGCTGATGTGGACTCCGCAGCTATTTCACCTTGTGGCTATTGTGAAAATGCTACCATGGACCTGGTGAACAAATGTCTGTCTGAATCCTTGCTTTCCATACTTTTCCATATATGGCTAGGAGCAGGAGGGCTGGATCATTTTGTGATGCTATGTTAAATTTTTATTCCCTTTGCAGTACTGGGCACTTAACCAGGGCCTTCATAGTGAGATAACGTTATGGAGCCCCAGAGAGCCCCCTCCCCACTGGAGGTATACAGCATGGTATACAGTAGGCACTTAACTCACATTTATAGGATATGTCCTGGGCAGGGCCCTTGTGCCACCTGCCATACCTAGACTTTCCCTGTCACCTCCCTGCTTCTACTCTGAACCCCAAAGAGGCTCAGGGCCCACACTCCTTTCTCACTTGCTGAGCTGGTCCCTGAGTGTCCCTGGGGCTTCTCTATACTGCTGAAGTCCCTAGGTCCTCAGTACCAGGTCCTCCAAGATCACTGCTCACAAGCTGCCAAGGATGAGGCAAACAGATAGCTCTAGGGTCACTACCACGACCATGAAGGGGAAGTTCCAGCTGAAAGTCCCACTTGTACTTACCTTGAAGTCTGGATAAGATTTTTGTAGACAAAGATCGCTTGTGGTGGTAGATGTCACAGCTGGGTAGCTAGTAGCTGGTGGGCAGACGGGACGGGGCAAGAAACGGGAGTCTTTTACCTCTTACAGGCAATGCGGAATAAACAGAAGAGTGATTCTTACAGGGAGCACTTTGGGAAACTGGATCAAGCTCCATTATGGCCAGGCTTGGTGGCATAGTCTTACTATTCCAGCACTCTGAGAGCCTGAGGCAGGAAGATCCCAATTGCTCAGCTTGGGCAATTTAGTGCCTTAGTGAGACCCTGTCTCAAAAAAATGGTCTGGAGTTATAGTTTAGTGTGAAGGCCCCTGGCTTCAAACAAAAAGTCATTATGGCCTGGTAAGCCTTGCCATAAGGAAAAAATTTCCAGTGAGAAACCCTCCTTGTCTACTGGGTACCCTGGAGTAAGTCACTGGGCATCACTGGGCTCCAGTTCCTCCAGGCCTGGGTAGAAGCAGGGGCCAGGAAGTGAAGGAGGAGGTTGAAACAGCTGCTAGTAGCCCCTGGGACTGTGTTCCTGATGGGCGGGGAAAGAAGAACTTGGGGTAGGGCCAAGGGGCAGGCTACCAAGTGAGAGCATTTCTAGGCATAGCCCCAGCCTGGGAGGTGGGCTCCTGGTTCCCTGCTGGTGACTACTCTGGAAGTCCTAAGGAGACCTGTGTCTTCCCTAGGTGGACCAGCACAGCAGGTGGGGACCTGGAGTCTCAGTGGGCTCTGGGGCTGAATGCCCTGAAGTATCCCAAGGAGATCCCTGTTTGCCCAGCCAGCCCAGTGCATCGCCCTCCTCCGCATCAGAACCAGCCCGGACGCTGCTATGGGCTTTGTGCTCCGGCTGCTCATCTTCGCCTCCATCCTTCCCTCAGGTAAGCTGCGGCCAGTGCCCAGCTCCCAGGGCTCTACCGGTGGAGGTCCAGCATTGGCAGACTGGACCTTGTCTGGTGAGGCCTGGCTGCTGAGAAGGAGGGAAGACAGAGGGAGGTAGTGGCAGAGATGAGCAGGGCCAAAGTCCCTCTTGGAGTCGCCAGCCAACCTTCTGAGCGCCATGGGGCAAGGACAACCTAACCTGGGGGCACCAAGAAGGACTGCACTAGGGGGCTTTGTGAGGGCAGGTCAGGGCTTGGCAGCCTACTGGGGACACCTCTCTGGAGCAGATGGCAGCAGGATTCCATGGGGTCCTCAGGCCACAGCCTCCTCCTCTCTGCCCCACCACTCCTCCTGCAGGCCAGCCCTCGTGGGGCGTCTCCAGTCCGGGAGATGTGCAGGGTGTGAAAGGATCCTGCCTGCTCATCCCCTGCACCTTCAGCTTCCCTGCCAGCGTGGAGGTGTCCGACGGCATCACTGCTATCTGGTATTATGACTACTCAAACACTCGGCAGGTGGTGAGTCACTCAGCCACACCCAATCTGGTGGAGTCTCGATTTCGTGGCCATGCGCAGCTGCTCGGAGATGTGACTCACAAAACATGCAGCTTGCTACTGAGCGACCTGCAGTCCAAGGATGCCGGTGCCTACAATTTCCGCTTCGAGATCAGTGAGGGCAACCGTTGGTCGGATGTCAAAGGCACCTCGGTCACCGTGACAGGTAAGAACAGGGTGGCCTGGCGTAGCCTGGCTCCCTGGCTTACAGCCTCATCCTTACCCTGACTGATCTCATCCTGGCCAATGTCAGCTGGGCCCCACGACCACCCTGCCTCCTCCTTGTAGCTTTTCTGGGCCCTGAAGTCTCTGGACCAGAGTTTATCCCTCATGTGGGTGGTGCCAGGCAAGAGACTTCAGGGTGGCCAAGTTGGGGATGGGAGTTCTGAGCTCTCCTGTCTTTGTCCTCAGAGGAGCCCCAGGCACCCACCATCACCTCCCCCAAGAAGCTGCTCGAGGGCACAGGGGTGACCTTCAACTGTTCCACGCCCTACGTGTGTCCGCAGAAGCCAGTCAGCCTGCAGTGGCAGGGCCAGGACCCCACTCGCTCTGTCATCTCCAGCGTCCAGAAACTTGACCCCACAGATGGAACCAGCCACACGGAGACCCTTCACATAGTCCCGTCCTGGCAAGACCATGGTCGGACCCTGTTCTGTCAGCTCTCAGTGGCCAACCACAGGCATCAGAGCCAGGTCAACCTCCATGTGCAGTGTGAGTGTTCGGGGAGCAGACACCTTTGCTACTGAGCCCACATTTGTGGCTCCCTGACAAAAAAAGCAGCCCCTAGAAAGTTTCTTCCCTGATGCCAAGCTGGGCACACTCAGGTCTCCAGACAGGGCAGGTGGGAGCCCAAAGAGCCAGGTGTAATCGCCTCTGCCTAGCCTGGTCTAATGGGCACATGTTCCACAATGCCAGCTGCTCACAGGTCTCAGGCCGCTGGCCCCCAAGCACTAGAGGGACAAATGCTGGGCAAGTCCCTTGGCTCCAGGGCTGCTGCTGTTCCATCTGTAGAGCGGAGTTAATGCTGCATTGTTCCTCTCTCATGCATCTGGAGAAAAATGAAAGAAGGTAGCCAGAAGAGTGCTTGGCACTTGGCAATGTAAGCTTTCATTAGCAAGTTTACACAGAGGCCTTGGGACGTGATTTGAAGGACCAGTTTCTAACTATTGCTGGTCTCTTCCTTACAAACCAGTCAACTCTTTTGAGAGCCGCTCTGATGCTGCTTTTTTAGCTCCCTGCCATTAGGCAGTTGGGCTCTTCTCCACAGTGACCACAGCCACTAAAGCAGTGTGGTACCTGTGACCTTCTCCATGCAATTGGACTCAACCAGAACAGGAACAGCGGGCAGTGTCATGAAGCAGAAAGCCACAGAAGGCCACATAAGCAAGCACCAACCACATTAGCAGAGTCAGGGTGGAAAGGGAAGGAAGCAGGGATGTGGGGGAGGGCGAAGATGGGGCCTGCCTGGACACAGGTTACTTGGGCCTGGTGTTTTCCTTGGGTGGCCTTCTTTAGAGCAGAGCTGTGAAAGGCTGGGAGTCCTCCCTTGTATCTCATCTGACACCCCCATGGGGTCTTGTAGATGCCCCCAAGGGCGTGAAGATCCTCCTCCACCCTTCCGGCCAGAACATCCTTCCAGGGAGCCTGGTCACACTCACCTGTCAAGTGAACAGCAGCAACCCCACTGTCAGCTCCATGCAGTGGTTCAAGGATGGGGTACCCCTCGAAGTCGATGGTCCCATACTGCAGTTTTCTCAGGCAGCCTGGAATGATTCTGGGGTCTACACCTGCGAAGCCAGGAATACAGTGGGCTCTTTGGCTTCACCACCCATCAGTCTCCATGTCTTCAGTGAGTCCCAGGGGAGCTGGATGGAGCCTGGGTGGTGGGGGTTCTGGCCAAGGCAGAGTCGAAGGCTGGCAGCTCAATGCCTGTGGGTGCAGACAAAGAAACCGGGCTCTGTCTTGATGTGAGATAGATGTCAGCCCTTCCCTGAGAGGTGGGATATCAGGAGGTGCATGGTGTCTGTAAGTGCCCACCCCACATGGAAGGTGGGCAGGTGAGGAAAAATCCACAGAGATTGAAACTGAATAGTTATGCCCCAGGATTCTATGAGGGTGGGCCTGGAAGTCACTGAATAACCTCCCAGCATGCCATGTGCTGCTGTTGCAGTGGCCAAGGTCAAAGTGAGTCCATCAGGTCTCATCCTGGAGAACCAGCCGGTGATGCTGGCCTGCGACACACCCAGGGAGGCGCCCAGTGAGCTTCGCTACAGCTGGTACAAGAACCAGGTCCTGCTGGAGAACGCCTACGCCCCCACCCTCCAGCTGCACTCAGTCACCAGGGCCGACACGGGCTTCTACTTCTGCGAGGTGCAGAATGCCCAGGGCAGCGTGCGCTCTGTTCCCGTCAGCGTGCTGGTCAGCTGTAAGTGACCAGGGTGGGGTGGCAGTGGACACTGCCAGGGCAGGACAGGAGAGTAGAGTGCTGCTGGAGGATCAGGGTCCCTGGCATGGGAGCTCTGAGGCCACTTTACCCAGATGGTAAACTGGATGGTCTCTGTGGCCAGCTGGCCTGGAATTCGTGGCTCTGCTGTGCACACCTGGGCTTTGATCTCCCTGGGCCTCAGTTTCCTCCTACTTTTCCAAACATTTTATTTGGAGCTAGAAATGTAGCTCACTGGTAGAATGCTTGTCTAGCATGTGTGAGGCCCAGAGTTTAAAGACCAGCACTGGACAAAATATGTATTTGGAAATAAGTTCAAACTTATAAAAGTTTTAAGATTAGTACAAACAATTGTCATATAATTTTAACCTAGAGTCTCCAAATACATTTTGGTACATTTGCTTCATTGTTTTTCTTTCTGTGTCTCTGTCTCTGTCTCTGTCTCTGTCTCTGTCTCTGTCTCTGTCTCTCTCCCCTGCTGAAAATCATAGCTTTGATTGCCTTGTCTTAAACACACATGCCCAGCACTCATATTTGCTTGTGGTTTGGCAGAATTATCTAACATACAACTTGCTTCATAATGAAGTGCTGTGTGCTTGTATAATTTATTGAATACTTGTGCCAGTGACTTGTCCTTGTGATCATGTGGGTCACCAGGGGCTGTAGCTCTCTACCACCACCCAGCGCCTTGAGACAGGGCCATATTACAAATCACTAGCTACGGAAAAGATCAAACTTCAAGCCAGGTGTGGTAATGCATGCCTGTAATCCCAGAACTCAGGAAGCTGAGGCAGGAGGATCACTATGGGTTTGAGGCCGGCCTGGTTACATAAGGGAGTTGAAGGCCAGCCGGCACTACATAGTGAAATCCTGTCTCAAAAAAAATCAAAGCTGGGACCAGGGGTTCAGCTTGGTGGTGTAGCGCTGGCCTGACAGGTGTGAGGTCCTGAGTTTGATTCCTGGTACCCCTTCTCCCCCCAAAATAAATCAAAATCAAAACCAAAACACCTCAAACTTCAAAGTAGAGTTTCCACTGAACATGTGTTGCTTTTATGTCATTGTGAAGCTGAAAAATCATAGACCACTGTAAACTGAGGATGATCTACAATTCCACTCTCGAGCTGCAGACACGATGCCTCTTTGCCCTGACTTCCCTGCCTGTACTTCTCAAGGCCATTCCCATACACCATTCCAGTGCAAGGGCCACGGTTAGGAAATGTGACATTGATCCAAGACTAAGCTACAATCCTTGTCCAAATTTTAGCGGTTGACCCAATAATGTCTTTCACGGCATTTTTTCCCCTCTGGTCCACAGAAGGTCACACATTTAGGGCTGGATCGCTGTCTCTCTCTGTGGTGTCCTGTCCTATGGGACAACTCCTCAGCCTTTCCTTGTCTTTCATGATGTGGAAACTTGAAGAACACAAGGCTGTCTTTTGTTTGGGACTCTGCATTTTGTCATCTTCAGTGTGTCCTGTTGAGTGTCAGTGTGTCCCGTGCTGGTAATGTCCCCTTGGATTGCTTGGTTAAAGTGCTGTCCACTGCCTGGTCTCTACCGGTTTTCTCATATTTATAGGGCCCTGACCTCCCCCCTGCAGAGCAGCTGCAAGGACTGATGGGACAATAGAGGAACTCCTGGACAGTCCCATTCCAGGGTATTCTGGTACAAAGGGGTCCAGGACCATAGGTTCAGGTGGGAACCCGGGAAGCACTGTCAAGGATGACAGGCCCACCTCCGGTCTCCATACAGACCCACCCCTCGCCCCGGACCTGAGTGCCTTCCTGGAGACACAGGCCAAACTCGTGGGCATCCTCCAGTGCTCTGTGGTCAGTGAGCCCCTGGCCACGCTAGTGCTGTCCCACGGGGACCTCATCCTGGCCTCCAGCTCAGGGGAGAGTGACTACAATCCCCGCTTCACTGTGTCCTCTGCTCCCAACTCCCTGCGCCTGGAGATTCGAGACCTGCAAGCAGCCGACAGTGGGACGTACACGTGCACAGCAGCCAACTTCCTTGGAAACTCGACCTCTACCCTGGACTTCCAGGCCAATGGTAAGTTGGACATAGACGATGTGGGAGTGTGTGGATGTGTGTGCATGTGCTTGCACATGGGTATGTATGTTGAGGGGAGTCCTCAAAAGGAGGCTTGCTTTGGCCTCTTCCTTCTGGGAGTCCAGGGTCTGTGCTAGGAGTTAAGGGAAAGAGACAGAATAGAAAAGTGAGGGGTTGCTGCTGTCGGTGCTTATGCCGCCCTCTCCTCTGTCTGAGGCCATGGTAGACACAGCTGCCTAGCACATTAGGCAAAGCAGGATTTGGTACAAGCCAGGTTGTAGCTCAGAGTCCTGGGCTGTGCTGCAGACAGTTACTACCAGGAGGTCCGAATTGGCCTTCAAGGCCAAACACTCCTGACCCACCACTAGCCGGGACCTGGCTCAGCCCCAGGGGCGAAGCAGAAGCTCCTGCAGCAGGAGGGAGGGGTACTGGGAGGGGTGGGGCTCTCACAGGCTCCCCAGCCTCATCTTTCCACCTGCAGCTGCCCGGCTCTTCATCAGCCCAGCGGCCGAGGTGGTGGAAGGGCAGGCGGTGACCCTAAGCTGCAGGAGCAGCCTCAGCCTGGGGCCTGACACCCGCTTCTCCTGGTATCTGAATGGGGCCCTGCTCCTCGAGGGACCCAGCAGCAGCCTCCTGCTCCCCGCTGCCTCCAGCACCAATGCCGGTTCTTACCACTGCCGCGCCCAGGATGGCCACAGCACCAGCGGCCCCTCTGCGCCGGCCATCCTCACTGTGCTCTGTAAGAAGCTTCACCTGGCTGTGCCTGCTGTGGGGAGGGCACCCAGCAGCCACCCACCTCCTCCAGCCCACTTGACCCCATGTGACCTCTCCACCCAGGGCCGAAGCTGTGATGGTGTGACTGAGCCCTCTTGTACCTCCCTGTGTCCTGACCTCCAAATGCAACTCATTTGTCTCTCTCTAGCCATCCTGACCCCATGTCCAAGCTGTGTTCTCTGGGCAGCCTTGGGATAACAAACTCCTATAGATGTGTACAAACCTTATGGTCTGGGCCTTTGGGGTTCCTGTACGTACTAAGGCAGAAGCCCTTGGGCCAGGTATATAGCTCAGCAGTGCAGCACCTGCCTACAAGTGTGAGGTCATGAATTCAATTCCTGGTACCAAAAGGAAAAAAAAAAAAAAAAAAAAAGGAAACCCTTAGCACTGGACGGAGCAGGCCCTCTTCATGCTACCACAGGCAGATACCCTGCAGGAGCCAAGGCGGTCAGTCCCATTCAGGGCACGTTTAAACTCCAGAGGTCCTCCCTGACACACAGGTCCTAGCCCCAGGAGTCGCTGAGACTTTCGGCCACGTAGTGCGTACATCCTAGCTAGAAAATCACTCCCCTTTTTCCAGGTGGGGTCGCCCAGCACCAGGGTCTGGTCTGCTTTCCCTTTAGCAGTGCACAGCTGCACAGATGTCTACGACTGCTCTGGGAGCCCAGACTGGAGTGGACCTGGGGCCTTGGCAGTGGCCTTGGGGTGAGTGTCCTGCACTTCCTTCCACAGATCCCCCCCACCAGCCCACACTCACTGCCCGCCTGGAACTGGATGCCACTGGAGCTGAGGCTGGTCGCCACGGTCTCCTACTGTGCCGTGTGGACAGCGACCCGCCTGCCCACCTACAGCTGTTCCACGGGGACCGCATGGTGGCCACAACATCTGTGGGAGGCTGCAGCACCTGTGGGGTTTGCTCCCAGCGCACAAAGGTCACCAAGGAGCCCAACCTGCTGCGGGTGGAGATTCACAACCCGGTGCTGGAGGACGAGGGCGAGTACCTGTGCAGGGCCAGCAATACCCTGGGCAATGCCTCAGCCTCAGCCACCTTCAATGCCCAGGGTGAGAGGCAGGACTGGAAAGGGGAGGGGCAAATGGTGTGGGCAGGGGATACACCTCTGTTGCCCCCAGGCCTTCCTTCTGGTCCCTGGGTGGGGCAGGGGTGGTCAGAGCAAGGGCCGTCTCCATTGAGGCTATGTCACCTGCTGTCCAGCCACTGTCCTGGTCATTGCCCCGTCCAACTCCCTGGAGGAAGGCACAGAGGCCAATCTGACTTGCAGTGTGAGCCGGGAAGCTGCTGACGTCCCTGCCAACTTCTCCTGGTTCCAGAATGGGGTGCTGTGGGCTCAGGGTCCCCAGGAGACCATAAGGCTACCGTCCGTGGCCAGGACTGACGCCGCCCTGTATGCCTGTCAGCTCATCACCGAGGCTACCACCCAGCCCTCGGCACCTGTGGTCCTGAATGTGCTCTGTGGGTACCAGGCAGAGTAGCAGGGACCTGGGGATAGCCCTGGAGCACCCAGGGTAGGGTTCGGATGTGGGGAGAGCAAAGCCTGGCTGGGCCTGGGCTGTGTGTGCAGGGTGGGGGGGACGATGTAGCAATTGGAATGTGGTGGGTTGGGCTGCAGGGGTCTGAGTTCCCCGATTCCTACAGATCCCCCGGATCCTCCGAAGCTGTCATCCCTCCTGGACATGGGCCAGGGCCACATGGCCATGTTCATCTGCACTGTGGACAGTCACCCTCTGGCTCAGCTGTCCCTATTCCATGGGGAGCGCCTCCTGGCCACCAGCCTTAGACCCCAGCCCCAATCCCATGGTAGGCTCCAGGCCAAGGCCACCCCCAACTTCCTGCAGCTGGAGGTCCGAGAACTGGCTATTGGGGACTCTGGTCACTATCACTGTGAGGCCACAAATGTTCTGGGGTCAGCCAACACCTCACTCTTCTTCCATGTCCGAGGTAAGTGAGTGTCCTTTGATGATGGAAAGCCCTAATACTAGCGGGCTCTTTGTTCAGACACTGGGTTGCTTTTGTGCTGTGAATTTTGCACAGAAATGGGAATCTTTCTCCTTTTCAGCTTGCCAACCTCCCTTTGCCTCCTGGTAGATATTTTGGTCTGTAATTACTGCAGCAACCACTAGGAAATAGTGGCAGTTATGCAAGGTGGCTGGTTAGGTTAGCACACTTCTGACATAACTTGTTAATAGCATCATTTTGTTATAAGTACAGTAAAAATTCTCATACAAAGCCTAACATACACATGCACTATGCATATACACGTATGAGTGCATATCCATATACATTCTGTATTCCTATTCTTCTCTACAAAAATTCTCCCTGAGCAAAGAAACAAGAAAAAAGGAAAGGTAATGTCCAGAAAGCAAAAGCCCAAGAAAAACGTAACAATCAGCAGTGGCAAGTTACATTTACTTTGGACCTTTGTTCTGTATCTTTTCTTTTCTTTTTTTTTTTTTTTTTTTGTGCCTTTCTCCTTTTTATCAGTAGCGGGGATCGAACTCACGACTGCCTGCTTGCAAGGCAGGCGCTTATGCCGCTGAGCTAAATCCCCAGCCCTATCTTTTCTTATTATTAGGTCAATTTCGAAGGCAGAGAAATCGAGGGCAGTCTTTCCCAGGAGCTCACTCGCTGGCACATGACCTGCAGGCCCCACTGACTCTGGACTGATGTAGTTTAGGCCCCTGCGTGGCCTGTGCTCTTGGCTTCAACCCAGCACTGTTTCGTCACTCTTGACCCTCAGCTCCTCCTCCTCTGTCAGTCAGAGCTGGGGACTGAGAGGACCTACCCTTGCCCACTTCCCAGTGCCTGGCTGGGTGCAGAGAGGGCCAGAAAGGGCTAGAAAGAGCTCAAGGTCGTACAGTGCCAACCTGCTCCTCAAGCCCTTGGCCATCTGTGTCATTCATGGTCAGGACGATGGTCCTCAACTTGACCTAAACCCCTTTTATTTCAATGCTGTAAGGGTCGAACCAACATTTGTCAAGAGCTCACACACACAGGCGCACAAACCCGATTCCCATAGACTCAGCCTCCCATGGGTGGGATGTGATTGGCAGAGCAAAACCATAATTCTAAGGGGTGAGTGGCAAGTGTCAGGCAGACAGAGCTGGTATAAGTGGGCTGAGAGCAGGAGAGGCAGAGACACACGGCTGAAGCTGGGCAGCAGTCTGGAGCGGAGCCTTCAGAGACACAGGGATGGGGGCATGATGTCCTGAGTGGCCATGCATCCAGCCCCAGACTGCTGGAGTTGTGCCACAGCCGTGGTTTCTCTCTGCAGGAGCCTGGGTCCAAGTCTCACCATCCCCTGAGCTGCAGGAGGGCCAGGCTGTGGTGCTGAGCTGCCAAGTGCCCACAGGCATCTCTCAGGAGGCTTCGTACCTCTGGTTTCGGGATGGCCGGCCCCTCCATGAGTTGACCTCGGCTACACTGCGCATTCCAGCCATAACTCTGAAGCAAGCTGGTGCCTACCACTGCCAAGTTCAGGCCCCAGGCTCTGCTATCACCTTGGCTGCCCCAGTCAGCCTGCATGTGTCCTGTAAGGGCATGTCCCACCCATGGGTGGGGAGGGGCTGCATTCCCTGGTCCTGGCTCTGTGACCACAACAGAGCCCTGTGGATGGGGGACCCTGGCCAAGCCCTGACCATTCCCCACCCACACAGATGCCCCACGCCAGGTCAAGCTCACCACCTTGATGGACGCAGGCCCAGGGCGACTGGGCCTTATCCTATGCCATGTGGAAAGTGACCCTCCATCCCAGCTGCGGCTGCTCCACGGGGACCACCTGGTAGCCTCTACCCTGCAAGCTGTGGGAGAAGCTGCAGGCCACAATGCCCAGCTGCAGGTATCTGTGACCCCTAATGCACTGCGCCTGGAGATCCACAACACAGTGCTGGAAGATGAGGGCGTCTACACCTGTGAGGCCACCAACACCCTGGGCCAGGCCTCCGCTTCAGCTGACTTCGATGCCCAGGGTCAGTGTGTATTTGTGTGTGTGCACATACGCGTGTACCCTGAAAAGAAGAGAGATGAGAGAGGGCTCTGGAAGCCACTGAGCTGTATCCCCAGCTCTTTGTATTCTTTGAAATAGGATCTTTCTTGTTTTCCTTTTTCTCTCTTTTTTTTAATGTTACTAGACATTGAACCCAGGGGAGTCTCTGCCACTGAGCTACATTCCCAGTGCTATTTTCTTTTATTGTTTGTTTTTTGAGACAGTTTCACTCTGTAGTTCAGGCTGACCTTAAACTCATTATGTAACCCAGGTTGGCCTCAAATTCACAGCAATCCTCCTGTCTCAGTCTTCCAAGTGCTAGCATTACTGGCATGCACTACCATACTTGGTTTTATATGTATATGTATATGTGTATGTATATGTATATTATTTATTTTGAGATGGAGTCTCACAAAGTTACCCAGGCTGGCCTTAAACTTGTGATCCTCCTGCCTTAACCTTCCCACTAGCTGAGGTTACAGGCATGTGGCATCATGCCTAGCTGGAAGAGCTCTTTTTAAACATGGAATTTTCCATGGATGCCTGGCTGATAAACTCATCAGAAAATGCATCTCAAGAAGAAACCATAGGGGCACAGGGAGGCCTGGTTCTCCCCATTTGCTCTACCAGGGCAGGGAGGGTCTCAGGCCTCTACCGGGACCTGTTTGGGAGACAATGAGTCCATTTCGAGGGGGGTCCTGGGGTGACTCATCTGCATGGAGGCAGGTGGCCCGCTTTACTCAGCCTGAGGCCCTCACAGGTATCCCTCTCTCCACAGCCGTGAGAGTGCAAGTATGGCCCAAGCCCACTGTGCAGGAGGGGCAGCAGGTAAACCTTACCTGCCTTGTGTGGGCCACCCACCCAGCCCAGCTCACCTACACATGGTACCAAGATGGACAACAGCGCCCAGGTGCCCGCTCCATCTCCCTGCCCAACGTCACGCTCACCGATGCTGCCTCCTATCGCTGTGGTGTGGGGTCTGCTGGCCAGGTTCCCCGCCTCTCTGCACCTGTCACCCTGGATATCCTCTGTGAGTCTGATGGGATGCAGGGTGGGGTCCAAGGCATGACCAGAGCCCCACAGCTAGCCAGGACTACACACCCAGCCAGCAGATGGAGCACAGGACAAGGAGCATTGGTTTGGGGGAAATGATGGGTTGTCTCTGAGAAGAGGTACAGTTGGGATGGGAGCCAACATCTCCTAGGTTCCAGTGCCACCTGCAAGCTCCTTAGACACCTTCTGTGCCCCTGCAGATGCACCCCGAAACCTACATCTGACCTACCTCCTGGAGCGCCATGCCAGGCAGCTGGCTTTGGTGCTGTGCACGGTGGATAGCCACCCACCTGCCCAGCTGACCCTCAGCCATGCGGGTCGCCTCCTGGCCTCCTCATCCACAGCCTCTGTCCCCAACACCCTGCGCCTGGAGCTAAAGGAGCCACAGCCCAGTGACGAGGGACTGTACAGCTGCTCAGCCCACAGCCCTCTGGGCCAGACTAATGCGTCCATGGAACTGCGGCTGGAGGGTGAGGCAGGCCAGGCCCGGGCTACAGGAATAACCATAGGCATCCGCTGCAGTGTCTGACTGGGCCCGACTGACCCTGACCTCCTCAGGTGTACGGGTGACACTGGCTCCATCAGCTGCTGTCCCTGAGGGAACCTCCATAACAGTGACCTGTGAGGACCCTGCTGCACGCCCACCCACACTTTATGCCTGGTACCACAATGGCCGCTGGATGCAAGAAGGGACGGCTGCCTCACTTACGTTCCTGAGGGCCACACGGGCTCACACAGGCGCCTACTCCTGCCAAGTCCACGACGCCCAGGGCACACGAAGCTCCCGGCCCACCTCCCTACAAGTCCTCTGTGAGTAGGGATCCTTGGCCGGCGCTGCCTGGGATGAAGATAGAGGAGGGTGCTTCTAGGCCCCAGTGGGGGTGCATGGGGAGTACTATGAGCTCAGGAATGGGCACTTGGAAAATAACAGACATAGGGCCCTAGGACCCCTGCTTGGAGCACTCTGCCCATAGGATTCTTGGCAGGTGTCACTTCTAGGAAGGGATTATTTAACTAGAGGCTCCAGCCTTGCCACCATCAGGCAGGGGGGCATCAGGAAATACAGAGCACTTAAACAAGGCCCCCATCTGTTTCCTTCCCCTCAGATCCCCCCAGGGATGCTGTCCTTTCTTCCTTCCGTGACTCCAGAACCAGCCCCATGGCCATGGTACAGTGCACTGTGGATAGTGAGCCACCCGCCGAGCTGGCACTGACCCACAATGGCACTGTGCTAGCTACTAGCCATGGGCTCCACGGCTCAGCATCTGGGACTAGTCACATCCAGGTGGCCCGTAATGCCCTGCGGCTGCAGGTGCCAGATAAGCCAGCAGGTGACGACGACATCTATGTTTGCACAGCCCAAAATGTGCTGGGTTCAACTAGGACCACCTGGCAGCTGCGGATGGAAGGTGAGTGGGAGAGAGGGAGAGAAGGGGGTGTGGGTGCCGTGAGCCAGTGCCTGTGTGAAGGGTTGTGTCTGTCACTAGACAACCTGAAGGGGCATGAGATAGCCCTGCCCTGCAAGGCCAAATCACTGGAGGGGTTGCCCAGCCTGGGGGGAGATGTGGCTTCACCCTGAGAGATCTTCATCCTGAGGTACAGCAGGTGTCACAGTGCCCAGGGAAGCTGGCAGAGGCAAGACAGAACCCTGCCCTCGTAGGGCCCAGGGGTGGGGACAGAAGCAGAGCCCCACCTTCAGGCAACCCAGTCTGAGAGCAAGATGCAGGCTCATCCACCAGACTGGTCAGGTGAAGGAGGCCTGTCTTGTGCCAGGAGCCCTGGAGGCAAAGCAGCATCTTCTTACTCTGAGTCAGAGGAGAAAGACACCGTCCCACCTTTCAGTGCCCGGGCCCCAAGATGGGCCAAGACTTCTTCTGTACATTGTACAGGACCATAGAGCCCTGACCACTTGTCTGTCCTTGCCCTGCAGGTGTGAGTGTGGTGGCCAAGCCAGGCCTGGAGGTGCCCGAGGGCTCTGCACTGAACCTGAGCTGCCACCTCCCTCATTCTCCTGGGTCCATGGGCAACTCCACCTTTGCATGGTTCTGGAATGGCCGGCTGCTGCACATGCATCCAGTGCCCACTCTTGCCTTCAGCCATGTGGGCCGTGCCCAGGCTGGACTGTACTACTGCCGGGCAGAGCTGCCCTCTGGTGCCTCTGTCTCTGCTCCTGTCATGCTCCGAGTGCTCTGTGAGTGTGAAAGCTCTGCCTCAGTCTCCCTGCATCTCGAGTGCCCACCTCAGATTTTTCTCTTCCGTTTGCAAAGAGAGTAAAGACTTCACAGGCTTGCAATGTTGAGTAAGAATTTCACCTGTTGGGATGTCCTGTGCATCTGTGTCTTGATTCCCTGTGAAAGGGGAACCATGGCAGCTTCCTAGTCTTGGGAGGAGCACAGGAGATAAGCAGAGGACCTGGCACACAATAGACTCTCATCAACTATGGTCTCATATTCTAGTCTTCACCAGCACCCATGCCTCATCAGTTAGCTATTGCTGCATAACAAATGACCCCAACCCAGAATTTTATGCATCTGAAATCTGGGCTGGGTTCAGCTGGCCAGTTCTCTTGGTCTTGTCTTATCCAGTTGCAGCTGTCCAGTGGCTCCACTGAGGCTGGATGGTCAAAAATGACCTCACTCTTGTGGTGGGTCTGATCTTCCCACACAGTCATGTTCAGGAAGCAGAGCAGAAGCTTTTGAGGACTAGCCACAATATCACTTCTGCCTTCAGTTGGTCAAAGTGAGCCATAGATGCCAGGGGCGAGGAAATAGACTCTACCTCCTTACAGGAGGTGCAGCAAAGTCATGGTGAACAGAGGCAGGGAAGGAAGGATTTATGCTCATTTCCTGAAACCACCATGCTCCTTTCCTCCCCACAGACCCTCCCAAGACACCTACCATGACAGTCTTTGTGGAGCCTGAGGGTGGCCTCCGGGGCATCCTAGACTGCCGGGTGGACAGTGAACCCCTGGCCAGCCTGATTCTCCGCCTTGGCAACAGATTGGTGGCCTCCAGCCAGCCCCAGGGTGTTCCCACAGAGTCGCACATCCAAGTCTCAGCCTCCCCCAACGGCCTGAGGGTGGACATGGAGCTGCTAAGGCCCAGCGACCAGGGAGAATATGTGTGCTTCGCCTCCAATAGCCTGGGCTCAGCTTCTGCCTCTGCCTACTTTGGGGTCTCAGGTGAGGGGAGGGGCTCCAGCTACTCCCTTCAGACATGGCCTGTCTGTCCAGTCTAAACTGGCCTCTTAGAGTTCTCCAGATGGGAGCTTTGAGATGAAGTGCAAGGGCAGCACTGGGGCTCAGAACCATGGCTGCCCCTGAGCTCCTCCTCTGTGTTCCAGCCCTGCACCAGCTGCATTTGCTCCAGTGTCTCCTTTGGGTGCTGGGACTGCTGGCCGCCTTACTGTGCTTGCTGTTGGGCCTGGGGGCCTACTGTGTATGGAGGTGGGTCTGGGTTGTCCTGCCCTTTTTCCTCCAGCACTCCCCACCTACTTTAGGGGAACTTCCCACTTGCCAAGTTCAAGTACTGCTACGCCTCCTCATGTGGGTCCCCCAGAATTACCTCTAGCCTTCTATGCCCCCCCCCCACCCCGTACCCTGTGTGTGTTGAAGAAAGGGCTGTGCAGGAAGAAACAGCAGGTGCTCTGGACAGTGGGAAGCCTGAAGGCATGGGTGGAGGAGGAAATGAGGAGCAGGAGCCTCTGAGTTCATTCTTGACTGCAGGAAGCGTTCCAGACATTTGAGCCTAGGCAGGAATTTGGAGATGAACTTCTCCGAGGGACATGGGGACATGCAGGTAAGCATTCCGTAAACAAGGGCATGTGCAGGCATAATGCCAGCTTGTTCACAGTGCCCTGCTGGCATCTGGGATGATGCCTGGGGCCAGAAGGAGGTTGGGGAGGAAGTGCAGGGGGCCAAGACCCCGCGAGAGTGAGAGAGAGCCATATTCTGCTCAGGGCTGGGCTGCGTGGCTTTTTGGTCTTAGCAGCCTCAGGCTCAGTTCCAAGACACATTTCCTGATTCCTTTGCCTTTGTTTTGAGTTCTTCAACACTCCTGAGCCTGCCTGTCACCTGGGCAGGGTTGACAGTGTGCCCCCTCTGCAGATGAGCGACTTCAGGGGCCAGAGGCAGAGCTCTGGCTGTGCCCACTCTGCCAATCTTCTTGGGGAAGCGGGGCGCGCAGGGACCATGGTTGGGCCCATAGTCAGCCTACGACCAGGCCTTTCTTTGTGGGAAGCTTATTGAGCACGCACAGGCACGTGCTCAGCAGCTGAGCTGACAGGTGGTGCTGCTGCCCTCAGGAGGAGGAGGAGGATACTGATGAACCAGGCACTGTGAAGCAGGCAGCGCTGGGTCCTGGCCACGTCTTTGCAAAAGACATGGTGACATCTGACTTCTGAAGACTTGGCTGCAACTCTTTTATGGTGGTAAGAGGTGAAGAAAGGCTTCGTCCACCCAGGAGGGTGCTGATTCCAGGGAATCCTCAAGAAAACTGAGTTGATTGTGTCATTTACTTGTGTCTGTGCCTGTCTTTCCTCTGGACCTCCTCCCTTCGCCATCTCTCTTCCAAAGGAGGCACTGCAAAACACAAGGCTGTCTGTGTCTTCACAGCCTTGCCGAGCACTCTGTGCCTGACAGTGTATGAACAGGCCAGGCTTCTGTAACATGATACCAAATACAGTGGCTTCAACATGGATAGAGTTTTATTTTTCTTTCCCCTTCTAGTCTGGATATGCTATGGTGGTACAGGGTGTTGGGGCTCAGGCTCCTTTCATCTTACTTTTTCCCATCCCTAAACTATTGCCTTAGACAGTGAGGTTCACATGGCCCCACTGTGTCCATGTTCCCTACATCCAGAAGAGGGAAGGATGGAAGCGGACGGCAGGAGGCTCACCCGTTCCCATTGTGTGCACAGCCCCGGAGCTGCACGGGTCAGTTTCCTCCCTTCCCCTCAGCTGGAGTTTGCTCACCAGAGCACACCAACCTGCAAGCGAAACTGGGCAGGAAGTTTTTATTCTGAGCCCAGAGTCCATTTGGAATTTTTGTTTCCAAAGGGCTTTCAACTATGGAGTCAATCCTGGGACTTTTGATACTGATGGGACTGACCTACCTCAATGCGCCTAGCCATTCCGTTCTTGGGCTTCCTGAGAGAGATAATTAGTCCCTCTCACAAGATAACACTAAAGAAATTGAGACTTGGTATTCTCTAGGGTGAGGGCATGCCAGGTCTTTGGGCCAGTGCTGGCCCTTGAAAGAAGAGGCGCCCCATTTCCTCACCTTCCACCCCACCCCAGCTTTAGCAGTGAAGAACAGACACAGATGTGCTTACCATCTCTGGGCTTGCTCCAAGAGCACCCCTCTCCAGTGACAGGTGAGCTCCTGTCATTTTGCTGGTTTTCAATGTACCAGAGGTTGTTAAAACAAATGAAGGCGACCGACAAGGAACCAGGGCCTGGGAGGAGCTGGTGCTTGATCAGCTGGTGACTGCCGTGTAGCCTGGTAGCAGATGATGGGAGGAGCAAAGGGTCTGCAGATCTGGGCTGAGAAACATGGAGAGTATTGGCTACTGGTTCAGGAGCTAACAGGCTGGGAAGGAATTAGAGGCCAGGTGAGCACTGTGAGGCTAGGCTGTACCCTCCCTCCCTCGTTCTGGATCCCGTTTCCTTTCATGGCTGATTGCCACACTCCTCCCAGACCTGGTCCTGCATGTCTTTCCAATAAACCTCCATCCTATGATGCAACTGGAGTGAGTTTTTTTTCCTTGAAATCCTAACTTCTGGGCTAGAACACAGAGGATTCAAAATTAATGCATTTGTTCAGGGACCATCCACAAGAGGTGGCCTGGGATTGTAAATCACATGATACTGTCACAAACCATCTTCTGCTGGATTGAGTGTGTCCCTTCCTGCTCCCTGAAGCTCTGACTGTGTGCTGCTCACCCAAAAGGACCAGCACAGCACTGGTTTCTTCTACCTTGTTGAGTAGGAGGGTGGAAACCTTGGGTTAAAGTCAAGGGTGGGACAGACAGAGCAAACCAAGTGCAGCCAGGTGCTTGGGGGCTGCCTGGCAGAGGGGAGAATTGCAGATGGCCACGGAGGGGGATCTGGGCACATGTGACTTGGAAGTCTTCATCTGCATCTGTGTCCCTTCAAGGAGATATATGTCCACAGTGGGCTGGAGGGAGCTCGGTTGAGTACTTCTGTGGTCTAAAGGCTCCCAAGACTTTGAAATAAACTTACAATTGAAGTGTAACATCAATTATAAGTGTAAACTTATAATTGAAAGTACACACTGTATAAGTGTGAAGAATGATTTTCCCCAAAGCAAAGAACTATGCAGCCAGCACAGATCAAGAAACAAAGTGTACCCCAGCACCTCCCTGGAGTTCTCTCCCAGTCTCAATTCCCCAAGGGCTGCTACTGTTTTGACCTCTAACACCATAGATTTCATGTTTCGGGTCTTGAACTTTGTATAAATGGCACTGTGCAGTATGTATGACAGTTTTGGGAAATAATTCAAGAATATCTATGGAGCTAACATACTCCCATGACCCTGACATTCCACCCCTGTGTATTTACCCAAGAAAAGAGGGTTTATGTCCCTGTGAGACTTGTATGAGTGATCACAGCAATGCTACCCATCACAGCCACGAATAGAGACAATAAATGCACAGTAGCAATGGAGAGGCAACATCAACTGTGCCACGTTCCCACGATGGAATATTACACAACAGTGAGCATAAGCGATGACTTCAGACAATGTACAAGTGATGTTTCAGTGTTGAGGGAAAGGAGCCAGAGGCAGGAGCCTTTGGTGTGGGAGGTACCGCTTTTCCAGGGTGACTGAATCGTGTCCTCTGCCAGGTTGTAAAGAAGACACAAGTTTTCAGGCACCGTGGAGCTCTGAGTCTGGAGGAGGGAAGAGGCGAGCAACTATGGTCCTCTGTGAAACACACCATGCGGAAGCACTGTGCAGGGTCCGCAGCCTGGCTTTGGGTCGGGACCTGAACGAGGAGACCTTGCACTGCTTCTTGGGTGCCACCTTGAACAGCCTTGCTCTGGCAGCCCCTTTTCCCAGGCCCTCTCTGCCTTGAGCCTGCTGATTATGGACTGAAAACACGAGCCAAAATAAACCTCTCCTCCTTTAGGTCGTGAGCGATATGTATTTAAACCCCAGTGAGAACGTGGCTGATACCCTGAGGCTACCATCATGCACCAAGTTTCAGTCAGTGATTGGCTGGGTAAGTGGCAGTGGTCCCATAAGATTTCAAAGCAGCTGAAAAATTCCTGTCCCATAGTATTTCACTGACCCTGTCCTACATTTAGGTATGTTTAGAAGCAAACACTTTGCCTTGTGTTTCAATTGCCTGCAGCGTTCCCTACAGAAACATGCTGGCCAGGGCTGTGGCCTGTGAACAGTAGGTTCCACCATATGCAGAACCGAGGTGTGGAGAGGCTGCACTGGCCAGGTCCCATGAGCACAGGCTCTGTTTTGTGCAGTCTGCTTCTGTGTCTCTGCCCCTGAATCTCCCTCTTTCTCTCTCTGTCTCTCTCGGCACTGGGTACTGAACCAAGGACCTCATACACACTAGGCAAGCGCTGCACCACTGAGCTATGTTTCCAGTCTCTTTTAAAAAGAGGTTTTTGTTTTGTTTTGTTTTTAAATTTTGAAGCAAGTTCTAAGTTGCCCAGGCCAACCTGATCTCAAACTTTGACTCTTTCTGCCTCAGCCTCCTGAGTAGCTGGGGTTACAGGTGGTGAGGCATTTCTCAGAATATATCCCATCGTCAAGCAAGGCATGACTGTGCTGACACACAAAATAGTGCAAATGAATCTCAAAAACTCATAAAGGGGGAAAGGAGCCAGACGCGGCAGAGTGTGTGGTGTATAATTCCATTCATGTGCATAGGGAAGGAAACCTATGGACAAAAAGAGACCAGCAGCTGCCGGGGCTGGGAGTGGGAGAACCTCGGAAAGGGGCACAGGTGGCCTGTGGGGAGTGCTGGAAACGCACCACACTTGTGGTGACAGTTACACTAGTATACACAGTCATCAAACTCACTTAAATACCCTTACATGCAACTTACTGCAAGGATGTGATACCTTAATAAAACTGATATTCTTGGAAGTTGATTTAAAAATCTAAACTAGCTGGGGATTTAGCTCAGCAGTACAAGTGCCTGCCTGGCAAGCATGAGGTGGTGAGTTCGATCCCCAGTACATACACATGCACACATCAAAAGAACAACAACAATAACCACAACCCTAATAATTAATCATCATAAAGACAACACCAGTGGGGCTGGGGATTTAGCTCAGCGGCATAAACGCCTGCCTTGCAAGTGTGTGGTCCTGAGTTTGATCCCTGGTACTGATAAAAAGAAAAAAGACAAAAAAAAAAAAAAAAAAAAAAAAAAGACAACACTAGTAAAGACCTTCTAAATGTACTGATATACAAAGTGAATTATTAACTGAAAAAGTCAAAGGGCAGCAAAATCTTAATAAGAGAGGAAAAAGTTCTATTGTCTTTGGTTTATATAAAAAAAACTAAAGGTCTGTGCAAAAAACTAAAGTTTCCTGTGGGAAATGATGGTTGAAAGGATGGAGACTGAAGAGATAGCAGGACTTTTCCCTAAGCACTTATTTTATCATGCTTAAAAAACAAACAGTTCAAAGTGGGTTTTGCTCTGTTGCCCATGGTGACTCAGAATTCCTGGACTACAGCGACATCCCGCCTCAGCCTCTGGAGTAGCTGGGACTCCCGTGGGGTCCATGGTGCCACATTCTGACAGGCTTTCTGATGTTTGAATCACATAAGTGTAGGTTTCTCTTCTTGCTGAACCTTTTACCAACAGAATCACTAATTCCAAATTCTCAGGAACAGATTTGCTTGAAAACCAACAGCCCTCCCTATCAGAATACTTTGTACCTCGCACTCAAACAAACAAGCTTTTATAACAAGAAACAGATGCTGTGAGACCGAAAGTCCCCCCACGCAGGGGGGTGGGTGCATGGCTCTGTACGGGCCTGACCTCTCGCCAGGCCGGGGGAGCAGGGCTGAGCTACCTCCTGCGCCTGTCCCGCCTCATCGCGCCTTTCTGGAAGAGCAGCCCGCAGACCGCAGGCCTCTGCTCTAGACCTCGGCTAGTGGCCGCTGCCGCTGGAGGCAGCTGCACCTGACGGCCTCCTCCTCCCGGGCTCCGCGGACAGAACTGAGTCCCAGGGGACGGCGGCGCAGGGGGCGCTCCAGCCTTGGTCTTACTCCTCCATCCCTCTGTGGTCCTCAAAGAACCTTCCCGCCGGTCCCCGCCCCGTCCCACCCTCTGCCCCAAGCCCCGGTGCTGCCCCGCCCGCTCCCTCCTCCCGCCCCCCTCCCGCCGGTCGGGTCGAGCCCCAGGGGCCAGGTCCAGACCGGGAGGCGGTGGCCAGGAGGCTTGCGCGGGCGTGGGGCGGCCTCCATCCAGCCGGGGCGGAGCCGGCGGCCGGGGCCTGGAGGCCCAGGCGCTCCCAGCCATGGGCAGGGGGTCCCTGAGAGCTCGGAGGTCGCCGGTGCTGCGGTGGCTGCTGTCACTACTGCTGCTGTCTCCCGGACTGGTGCCTGGTGCCTGGGTGCTTCCAGGTGAGGTTGTGGGCTGGCGAGCCCCAGGGACAGGTGGGTGGCAGCCGTGGGGCTGGGCGAGCCCTCTGCTCCAGTCAGTGGCTAGAGGGTCTGAAACCCAGGCATGGCCTGGCGGAGGACAGGGCCGGGGAGGATCTGAGTGGGCGCCCATGAGACCTGCACTCAGCTTTGGGCTGGCTTCAGGTCGTCTGGCCCACATCTTTTTTTGCCCACCAGGAGCAAAGCAGAGGCGCAAGGCTACTGCCCAGCAGCTTCCCAACCTCAGGGGCTGCTGCCTGGAGTCTCTAATAGTACAGCCCGCAGGGTGGGGACACTGCTGCGTCTCTGGCCATGGGCCAGTAGGTCTCCCCCTCCAGGAGGCCCCAGGCCCACTGAGCCCCTCAATCCTGTGCTGCCCACAGCACCCGCTGTCCCGAGGCTCCCTACCTTCCCCGCCTGGCCAGCGTGTGTGTACTGTTTATAGAGTTCCCTTGTTTGGTTAGACAGACAAGGACTTCTCCAAACAGACTGGGCCTGCTTGGCAGTGCCTTGGGAAGACTGCATCTCCTTCCAGGGGAGCCTCCCTGAACTCTCTGCAAGGTGGGGCCACTTGCCAGGAGGATTTGCAGATCTTGTGCAGCAAGCACCTGGCAGAAGGGCAGAAAGGGCACTCCTGGAGGAGGCCTGGAGGCCTGGGCAGGCAGCCTGGAGGGTTCAAGTTCCACAGCTCTATGTTGGGGACCCACAGGTATGGGCGCCTGGTCTGTTCTGGCCTGGTAGGGGAAGGGGCGCAGATGTCATGCCTTTGGGAACCATTTCTGGTCATCCCACTGCTCTGAAACATTAGGATCTAGCCTGGGGCCAGGAGGTGGGATGAGACCCCTGAGAGAGGGGGGCTCTATGCTCCCACTTCTCTCCTTGGGCTGAGAAGCCAGCTCCATCTCAGCCCCTTAACCACAGTGCCAGTGGCAGCAAGCAAGTGCCAGGGCCACACTGCGCCCATACCCAGTATCCTTGGAGGCCTGGACCAGCCTGGTTCTCACACCCAGTTAAGCCCCTCTAGGCTCAGAGATCTCCTCCTTCCATTTGACCAGACTCTGCTCAGCACCTCCCCCACTGGTTCCTAGGGCTTCTGTAGCAAGGGGCTGGGCCCTTTCCCCCTCCTGCCTGATGACAGCTCAGTCATCAGTTAAGCAGGGGACTCCTGAAGCTGTGTTACCCCAGATCTTCCAGGCCTGAGGTCTGGGAGGGGAGGTACAGGAGGAAGGAGTTGGGGTGCCTAGGAGGGCTGGGCCCTTTTCCCAGGCGGTCATCAGCGAAGGCAGGTCTGGGGTAACGAGTGGGCAGTGGTGGGCAGCTGTCTTTTCTGGGAGCCAGGCTTGCTCCGAGAACTAAGTGTCAGAGGGGTGGGAGGGCTGGTTGCAGGCTCCTGCCTGGATGGGGGGAGGTGGTGAGACTGTGTGGGGAAGGGCAGGAGCACCCTAAAAGTACTCCGGGCCCCTTTGAGCAATCTTTGGCTCGAGGATTCCTCCTAGAGACCTCCAGGCACACCCTGGTTGGGAGGCCTGACACTGTGCCCTGGGTCCCCAAGGGGAGCCCTGCACATAGAGGACTCTCAAGACATCTGGCTGCCTCCTGGCAGATCTCTCACTCTAAAGGTATCTGCCGCCCAGTCTAAAAATACCCATGGCTGTCCCCTCCTGCCCCTCTCCTCTGTACTGGGAGCCTAGGCCTCTTCCTTGTGACCTCTGACCCCCGCCTGCCCCTCAAAGTCAGGCAGCCCCAGATCCCCAGCTGAGCTCTTCCATCCCATGCTCCTGTCTCTCTCTCTGCCCCTTGCTGGTGACTTCTCACTTGAGATGTCCAGTGAGTGTTGGACATGGAGCCTCCCCTCAGGCCACCCATGTCTCCATCCTTGCCCCTCTGCTGTCCCCAGCCCTCCCATTCCTCAGGCCCCTCTTACTCTGTGCCGTCTTTACTGCAGGGAACACTTCTGCAGAGCCAGTCACCCCACACTGGATCCTGGATGGACGATCCTGGAGCACCGTCACTTTGGAAGAGCTGGTCAGTGCCATGTTACCCCCTGCACTGCAGGAGTCTGGGGTCTCCCAGCCCCTCTGGCCTTCCCTTAGTGGTAGCTTGGCAGCTTTTCTGCCCCTCCCCATGGGTGGGAAGGCGGGGTGCGGTGGAGAAGCATCTAGATGTTGCCAGCCTGCACACATGGAAGTCATTTCTAGCATCGTCCACACCCTCTTCCCTCCCCCACCATTATTCAGACTACCCCACCCCGTCAGGCAGAGCTGGGCCTTGAGTTTAGGGGGCCTGAAGCTCTTCAGGAGCCCCTTTAAAAAGACACCAAAATAGCTTCCTTTGGCTGAGTTTGCAGAGCAGGTGACACAATATTGTCCCTCCCAGGGCCCTTCCACTGAGGATCCCAAAAAGTCAGCCTCATTGCCTCCTGTGGAATCCACTTGTGGCCAGGGGTAATGGTCATTGTCCTGCGCCCCAGGTGCAGGCTCACTCTGTTTGCTTCTCCAGAACATCAGTCCTGCCTCCTCCCAACTCCTAATCATCACACGGTGTTCAGGTCACAGCATCTGCACTGCAAACCAAGAAGCCAATAGCCTTGGTGTGCCCATTTCACAGAAGGGCAAACTGAAGCCCAGAAAGGCTGGAAAATTGCCCACAGCCACACAGCTCTTTGGGCCCAGAAACCTGAGACCTGCTGAGGTCTGAAAACACTCAGTTTTGCATTTCCAAGGAAGCTAGCACAGCCCACTGTCCAAGTCCAGCAAGCACAAATATCAGAGAGTGCTTCCATGTAGCCGGGGGTCCTGAATTAGGGTCTTCCCTGGGGATCTCCAGACCTTCAGGGCCCCATTCAACTGGTCTGTGCTTTGATGCGGTTCTGGACATCCCTGGCAGAGGGGCAGGCTGGCACATACGGGGTCACCTGAACCGTGGGCCTCCCTAACTGGCCTGGGCTGTGACCCAGAGGAGAATCCCAGAGAGCCCTGCTTTGCCAGCTCTGGCTCTGTCCCCAGGAAGCCTGCCAGGAGAGGGAGGCCAGGCAGGAAACAGCTCCAGCAGGGCATCGTCTGAAGGCAGGAAGCTCGCAGTTCAGGAGGGGGATGGGTACATGGGGAGGGGGAAGCTTACCAGGAGGGCAAACAGAGAAAGCTGCAAGGGCTGCAGAGGGATGGGGACCTCAAGTGTGCTCTTCCATCTGGGCCACTGCCTTCCTCCTAGTGCACACTTTTCCCAACAAACCAGTGGCATTCCAGCCGAGTGAGCTCACACTTGGACCTCACAGGGCCTGGCTGGGGAAATGAGGGCTGTCTGTTTCCCACCTGCAGAGGAAGCCCCCCCCCCCAACTCTGAGCCCCCTGGCCTGGGTCCCAGCCCAGTGCATTTTGGGATAAAAGGGGAGCACCAGCCAGGGCAGGGGCAAACATTCCGAAGATGCAGCAGTCCCCCAGGAATCTTCTGAGCTGTTTCCAAGTCTGGGCCCCCAGCCAGGCTGAGTGGACAAGGTGGGGAAGATGGGGTGCTTCACGGAGTGGAAAAGGCAAAGACGGTAGGGAGAAGGCCTTCTCGATTTCTAGCAGTGAGAGCCTGGGATGGCCCATGTTTGCTCTGGGAGCTCAGATGTGGGGCAGGCTTGCTGGAGCTGTGGAGAACTGGAGGATGGGGCAGTTTGCCAGGATGAGAGGTGGAGGAATAAAGTCTGAATTCTCAGGGATTGTGTTCCCCCAAGGTACAGACACAGTGGGCTGGGGCTACAGCTCAGTGGCAAGCCCTTGGCTAGCATGTGTGTGGCCCTGGGTTCCATCCCCAGCACCTCAAAATAAAAGACACAGAAACAAGTCCCCACATAGCACAGAGGCTGTGAAGAGGCCTGAGCCCCAGCTGCTCAGTGTCCCTCACCATGTTCTTCAGATGCCATAGTCTTCCTCTCCTGGTCATGCCCCTTCTGGTGCAAAAGACGAGGGCACGCCATGGGAAAGCCCAGTAACACTGGGTAAAGCAGGGTACCTTTCCGGGGGGTGCCTTACCTCTGGGAGACATGGGATGTCCCTGGCACTCTTTATGCACTTTGCACCGTTGTCACAACAGACACCCCAGGTCTGGGGAGATCTTTGCATGTCCTTGCCCCATGCCTGCCCAGGCCCTCATAACCCCACGGGGCTGGCTGTCCTTAGGAGCTTTCTCAGCAGCCAGCTCCACATCCTCCTGCTCCCTTCACGACCGTCACTCCTTCTTGCCTAGATCTGGATGCCTGACTCCGGGCTGGTGGCCTTGGAGTCTGAGGGCCAGGCACTCCTGCTTGAGTTGGAGAACAGCCGGTAAGTATCAGGCTGTGGTGGGCCCAGAACAGACCCCCTCTCTGGAGTGGGTCATGCTGGCCACCCGGACTGAAGCTACCCCCTGAGGGAGTCTGAATGGAAAAGGGACTCAGAAGGGATGCAGGTGACAGCAGTCACTCCAGCTGGAGGCTGGCCCCTGGAGGCCGAGATGGGCCCCTGAAGCTAGGCATCCCCATTGTGAGCACAGCATTCTTCCTAACACTGGGCAGTTTGGCAGCGCCCTGGTGGAAACCGGTGAGCACCACCTAGTGTTGAGTTATAAAGAATCTCAGCTGTTTCCACAGATGTAACTGGGGACTAGGCTGAAGGAACAGCCAGGCAAAGATGCAGCAGCGACAAGGGTCAAAGCACATTCAGGGTGCCAGTGTGTTTATCCTGCCTGTAGAGTTAACATCTACGAGAAAGAAAGTATGTTTGGGGGGTGAATTTAGGGGACCCAGCAGGGCCAGCTCGAAAGGGATTTTAGTGCTTCGGATCCTGAACATGCACAACAACTATTCTGAGCTGGTGAACGAGCAGGCAGGCAGGGCTCAGGTTTAGGCAGGGTTCCCACACAAAGTGGGGGGTCTTAGAACCATCCAGCCTCACCGTGCATAGGTCTCGCTCACTGAGTTTCATGGCAGGCACTGTTCCGAACGCTCTATGTGTTTTACTTCTTCCTGGAGTCTGAACCGTGGTTTCCAGAGACTCAGCAACCGTGTGTGTGTGTGTGTGTGTGTGTGTGTGTGTGTGTGTGTGCGCGCCTGCTCAGAGGAGCAGGCGGCAGCAGGTGTGCACTGCTTCCTCTCACTGAGGGGCAGCAGGTGATGTGGAGGGTCCAGAGGCCTGAGGAGAGGATGTGAGGGAGATGAGAGGGCGGCCTGGTTCCCAGCAGGGAGGCAGCAGGCTTCAGGTCTCACCTCCTCAGCAGCATCTCCTAATCCTTCCCCTCCTGAGCTGTGGGGCTTAGTGGAACTCAGACCCTTCCTTCTTCCTGCTCCTCCTGGTGCTTCCCCTGTGTCCACCTCCCACATCTGAGCTAGCTCAGGCTTTTCTGAGGGTGCCTCACACTTAGAGCTAAGCATTAGCATTCCGGGAGGGAGGCTGGGGGAGCCTGGGCTCCGTAAGTGATTCCTAAACCCCCCTCCTGGCAGGCTGCTGGCACCAGGATACACAGAAACCCACTACGGCCAGGATGGGCAGCCAGTGGTGCTGCTCCCCGAGCACATGGTGAGGCACTTCCGGAGGGTCTGAGGACAGTGTGAAGGTGCTGGGGATGTCACTCGAGATAGCCCTGCACTATCCCTGCCCCTCTCCCCAATTCCATTCCTAGAGGAAGTTGAGCCAGTCCTCCCCTTCCCTTCTTGCCCTCCCCTTTCCTCTGGCTTCAGCTCTGGCTGAGGTTTTGGGGCCTGGGTCTTTCCTCCCCAGGACCACTGCCTCTACCATGGACGAGTGAGGGGCTTCTCCAACTCCTGGGTCATGCTCAGCACCTGCTCCCGGGTGAGGTGAGCAGCCCTAGGGCTGGGGTGTAGACCCAAGCTGAAGCAAGAGCTCCCCGACACCCCACTCTCACATCTCTGCACCTAGAGGCCTGATTGGGCTCAACAGCAATGCCAGCTATTACCTGCATCCCTGGCCACCTGGGGACCCAGAGGACTGGTCAACCCACAGGATTTTCCAAATGGAGAGACTGCTCACCGGCAAAGGGACCTGTGGCTACAGGGAGCACAGGGACAAAGAGGGCATGGCCAGGCTTCCTTCTGCCCCCCAAAGCAGGGTCAGTGGCACAGACCCCAGTGGGAAAGGGAACACAGTGCGCCTATGTAGCCCCCCAAATCAGAGGAGACAGGAATGCATGTCCCAGGCCAGGGGCCACCTGTCCCAGTATTTTAACTAAGGCTGAAGAGATAAGTTCTGGCCAACTTTTAAGCCTGTTCTTTCTGGGAATTGGAGTTGGTTAGGACTGAAGGCCAGCAGCCTGCCACTCAAGGTCACCATTTGGCTCCCTACAGGACAAGCGAGAAGCGCCTAGGGGCCCGAGGTACCTGGAGCTGTACCTAGTAGCAGACCACTCCCTGGTGAGGGCAGTCCCCAGGGTTGGGAGGGGACAGGGCAGGCCAGCACAGCCCCTCACAGTGTCGGAAATTTCTGCCTTCTCAGTACTTGATCCAGCACCAGAACTTGAACCACACCAAACAGCGTCTCCTGGAGATTGCCAATTATGTAGACCAGGTTGGGGAGGCAGGAGAGGTGGTGTGGCAGGGCAGGGTAGGGGGAGAGGGGTTCTGCCCCCAAGGGGCCTCACACCTCTCCTCGTCAGCTCCTCAGGACCCTGGACATTCAGGTGGTGCTGACCGGCCTGGAAGTGTGGACAGAGCAGGACCGCAGCCGCGTCACGGCCGACGCGAACGCCACGCTTTGGGACTTTCTGCAGTGGCGTCGGGAGCTATGGGCACGGCGACCGCACGACTCCACACAGCTGCTCACGTGGGTGCCTCTGACCTCTGCGCGGATGGCAGGCAGGACGGCCAAGGCTCCCGCCCCTCCTCTGTTCACACTGGGCTCGCTTTTCAGGGGCCGCACTTTCCGGGGCTCCTCCGTGGGGCTGGCGCCCGTCGGGGGCATATGCCGCTCAGAGAGCTCGGGAGGCGTGAGCACGGTGAGCCGGGGGCCTGGGGATGGGCCTGGGGTGAAGCTCCCGCCCCGCGGTGACACCCACGCGCCCTCTAGGACCATTCGGAGCTCCCCATCGGCGCTGCGGTCACCATGGCCCACGAGATCGGCCACAGCTTGGGCCTCAGCCACGACCCCGACGGCTGCTGCACAGAGCAAGGCGGCTGCGTCATGGCCGCGGCCACGGGGTACGCGCGGGCTAGGGCGCGGGAGCGGACACGTTCCCTGCATGCTGCTTTGGTCATCCCGAGTTTCTCTTTTGTAAACGGGGATGGTGAAACCACTTGTCCTGTTGTTCATGAGGCCTCAGTGGAAAAAACGCAGGCAAAGTGGATTCTCGGGAGTGTGAAGATTTTGTAAAAAACCCAGCAAGGTTGCCCCACGCGGGAGTAGCACCGCTGGGGGCGCTGTTGCTCCTCAGGCCCCGGATTGTCCTCTGGGCGTCACACCTGCTCCGCCTCGGGCCCCTCTCTGGGCTCTGCCTCCACAGCATGCGAGCCTCCGGTCGCCCGGGCGCTGTCCGCGCCTCGGGTCGCAGCGTGACCGTCTCCCGGGCTGGGAATCCGGCCCGGGAGTGGGGTTGGGGTGTCCCGCGCTGCTGACGCCCTCCCCCCGCCAGGCACCCGTTCCCGCGCGTCTTCAGCGCCTGCAGCCGCCGCCAGCTACGCGCCTTCTTCCGCAAGGGAGGCGGCGCGTGCCTCTCCAACGCCCCGGAGCCCGGGCTCCCGGTGCCGCCCTCGCGCTGCGGGAACGGCTTCGTGGAAGCGGGCGAAGAGTGCGACTGCGGGTCTGGCCAGGTCAGGTCCGCCTCTGGGGACCGAGCCTGGCCCTCTTCTCGCCCCCTCCGGACGTCTGAGGCACTTACCCCGCACCTCGTCCAGTTTCACCTTTCTGATCCTAGAAGTGCCCGGACCCTTGCTGCTTCGCCCACAACTGCTCGCTGCGCGCGGGCGCCCAGTGCGCCCACGGGGACTGCTGCGCGCGCTGCCTGGTGAGGGCAGGTTGGTCCCTGCTGGGTGCTGGCTCTGTGCGCTCGTTGCCTGGCCCTGAATGAGCTCGGCTCAGATCTGTCACTATCCCTTGTCTCAACCGGGCATCTGCGTAGCTGAAGCCGGCTGGCTCGTTGTGCCGCCAGGCTGCGGGAGACTGCGACCTCCCTGAGTTCTGCACGGGCGCCTCGCCGCACTGTCCCCCGGATGTTTACCTGCTGAATGGCTGGCCCTGCGCCGGGGGCCGAGGCTACTGCCGGGACGGCGCGTGCCCCACGCTGGAGCAGCAGTGCGAGCAACTCTGGGGGCCTGGTGAGACCACGCTCCCTCGCACCCTGGCCCCTCCTAGGCGGCGGCCTTTCCAGATCCTGTAGACAGGATCTGCTGGGGAACTGAGGCTCCCGCTGCGCTACCTCAGGGTCGCGCTTTCATCCTCAGGCTCCCGCCCAGCCCCTGAGGCCTGTTTCCAGCAGGGGAACCTCGCCGGAGACGCCTCTGGAAACTGTGGCCAGGATGGCGCAGGCCGCTTCCTGCCTTGCGCTCAGAGGTGAGGAGCAGAGTAGTGGATCCGTGTGTGTTCGAGAAGGCCACACTTGTGATGTTGACCACCCTCCACTTGCTCCCCAGGGACGCTCAGTGTGGGACGCTGCAGTGCCAGGGCGGGGAACCCAACCCCATGGTGCCGCACATGGCGCCTGTGGAGTCCACGGCTCGCTTCGATGGCCACGAAGTGGCTTGCCGTGCAGCCCTGGTGCTCCCGGATGCCCAACTGGACCCGCTGGACTTGGGCCTGGTAGAGCCAGGCACTCACTGTGGACCTGGAATGGTGAGCCCTGCACACTCCACCCCTCCTGGCCACTTGAGTTCCATAGGCAAAAGTGTTACTTCACTGCCCAGTGGGCACACTGCCCATAGGTGTGCCAAGACAGACACTGCCAGAACGCTTCCTCCCAGGAGCTGGAGCGCTGCCTGACTGCCTGCCACAACCGTGGAGTGAGTAGCCTGAGCAGTGGAGGGTGACATTGAGGTCCCTGACTTGACATGACTCCCCTCTCTCTCTGCTCTGCAGGTTTGCAATAGCAACCAAAACTGCCACTGCTCTTCGGGCTGGGCTCCGCCCTTCTGTGACAAGCTAGGCTTCGGCGGCAGTGTAGACAGTGGCCCAGTGCGGCCTGAAAGTGCGCCAGTTGGGGGCAGGTGGGCAGGGCCCCAGGTGGTGCACCTGATCAGGAACTCAGTGCCCTGTCCTCTGCAGGTGGCAATACCTTCCTGCTGGCAGTGCTCCTCAGCTTCCTGCTGTCTCTGCTCACCGGGGTGGGCCTGGCCTGGTGCTGCTTCCGACTCCCTGGGCTCCAGCTCCAGCGATGCCCCTGGGGCTGTAGGAAGGACCCCGAAAGCAATGGGTAGGCTATGAGCACTCAGGTTGGGGTGGGGGCTAAGCCTTCAGAGCTCTTTGGGGCTTGGACAGCTGGCTGGGTCCTCAGCCTTGCTCCCAGGTATGGAAGGACCGTGGAGGCAGTGGAACCCAGGGTGTGGGTCCCGGCCTCTGCCTGCACCCGGCTTTGGCCTCCATTCCCTTCCTGCCAGCCCTGCCCCTCCTGCCTCCCAACTCTCCCACCAGGCGGCTGCCTCACCCTTGTCTCGGGCCACTTTTTCTCCAGCTCCCAATACGCTGCAAGCGCCCTGTCTCTGAGCCCTGCCTCTCCAGCTGTCTCATGAGTTTTGAGCCCTCTGCCTCTTCTTCTGCCCAAATCACTTCTGTCACCCCTTCAAGTTCCCCAGTGTTCAGTCCAACACATCTTTGCCCTCTGTGCCCCTGGACAGCTATGGTGCTGGCTGCTCTTGTGCCACAGCCCTGAACACGATTCTCAGTGATCTGGGTGGAGGACCACATAGTACTAAGTGTGGTCCACCTAAGGTGGTCCCTTTGCTGGGACCCTATGACCGTGTCTCACCGCCCAGCCCTGGACAGGCAGGTTTGGGCTGGAGATGGGGGCAGAGGGCATTGCGGACAGGGGCAGGACACCAGCCAGGCCCCAGGTGCCCACTGCCAGTAATTTCGCACAGCTGTCATGACTGGGGTTTTGTGGGCAGTGGACAAGGTGGACAGCACAAGAGGGGGCACTTCGGGTGGCAGTGGCTGCATCTTGTCACCAAGGTAAGGTCTCAGGGGCAGGGGAGCTTTTGGGAGATAGATGGGGCAAGGGCCACCGAAGATAGTGTGGCATTACTGTGGGCAGCGGGGTAACCAAGACGAGGAGCACAGGTGGCACAGCTGCTGGGGAGGGGCACGTCCGGCCCACTAGGGATCTGAGCAGTGCCAACATCTAGAGGGATCTGGAGGCTGTTGTGGCGCCAGAGCTGGGGGGAAATGGCAGGGCGCCTGGGAGGCCACGGGTCTCACGCAAAGCCTGGGTCCCAAGGGCTTTGCTTAAGAGGAGGCCCGGAGGAGCGAGGGAGTGACTGGGAGAGAAGTCAGAAACTCAGGCAGTACGGACCTTGGCCCTCGCCTGGCTATGGGAAAGCAGTGTCCCACACAGGCTCACTTTTCCAACGTCCTGCCTCTCGTCCTGCTGCTCAGGCCCAAAGGCGGCCCACACAGGGACCACAGTGTAGGTGACGTTCATCTTGTGCAGCTGGACCCTAGGGCCATCGGAGACCCCTGGCCACTGGGTAAGTGAAGCACCAGAGGGAAAGGAAGGGATGGGCTCTTGCTGTCTGCCTCCTTCCAAGTGGGCTCCCTCCTCCCCGCTCAGCACTCAGCACCCGTGCCCCACCCCGTTGCAGGGGCTCCAGCCGACTGTGCTGAGCACTCATTCTCCACATTTGCTCCCAGCCCCTGAGAACCCTGCCCAAGCCCAGCAGCTACCCTGGGAAGCCTGAGCCCTGCAGCCCTTTTACCTCTGAGGTAGCGTTGACCCCAATGCCGAGCCTCCCCTGCCGTTTCTCGGCCACCACCCCTCTCTCCTTCAGCTGGCTGCCCACATCTCAGGCAGCCGGGTTTGGGTTAATATGGGAGTGAGCCATGACTTCTTGGGGAACCTGCTGTCTTGGAGACCAGGATGTTGGAGGCCCCTTGGGTGTGGGAGGGAGAAGTTGTGGTTCTTTTTGGCTCTTAGGTCCTCACTGAGGGGAAGAAGGAGTCCCTGCCACATGACTTGCAGCCTTGACTTCACTCCCTGCAGGTCAAGTCCAGATACCAAGACTCTATTACGGGGGATAGGTGACCACTGACGGCCACTCTAGGAGATTGAATCCCAAGGATAGACTCAGGGAGTCAACTGATCCATGTCTTCCAAAGCTTGGAGGTTTCTTCCTGCCCTGCTGAGCCACTCCAGGACCCCAGAGCCTCATCAGAAGTTTCCTGATACCGTCCCTGGTCCTGCGGGCTGGGGCATGCCCTCCAGCCTAAACATCCATCACAGAGGAGCGAAGCCTCACAGTCCCCAGCCTGCAGTAGGGAGCCCTCTGTTATGGGTGTTGCTGCGTCTCCTGCACTTTCCCTCCGTGCAGCTCTGTGGGGGCAGGGCCTCCTGGACCCCAACATTTCTGATGGAACGTACATTTCCAGGAGCCTGAGTCTTGCAAACAAGCACACAAAACCACCGGGACCACCTTTCCAGTCTCCCCCTGCTCCATCCGGTACCTTGGCTGCTTCTGTAGCCCCCACCCTGACTGCTAGCTTTCCACCTGAGGCTGCAGAGGGTGTGGTCCTCTGTAGCCCCTTCCCTGGGACATTGCTTAGTCCTTCCCCATTCTGTGGGAAGGGTCAGGGGAGCCAGGTCAGGAAAGACAGCAGTGTAGTCATGAGAAAGATAGGCTTCTGTTTTTTCTGTTGTAAATTGAACCCCTTGAGGTGTCTTGAGGGTCACCTGGGTTGGCTGGTGGTGGGTGGAGCCTCCAGTGACAGCCAGGGTTCATCCGGCCTCAGCAGGGCATCACCCAGGGAATTACCCCTTTGCTTGCCTCTCCTGTCCCCTTAGATATTCTCATCTCCCATTGCTCATGCCAGAGTTGCTGAGTGACTTTCTGTATCAGATAGCTGTTGCTATGTAACAAAATCATTTCCAAAACCAAGTTGCTTAAATCAACAGGCACCCCACCATATTTCTGAGGGTGTGAAGAATCAGGAATCTTCGTAGTCTATCATTGGCAGCCAAAGAGGTAGCAACCCCAACTCATCTGTAGCTCATTCTGTCATGGTTCTAATAAATATCCCAAGTTAGTTTTATTTATTTATTTATTTTTGGAGGCACGTGACAAACTAAAACACAAATGGAATAGCAAAAAATCCAAGAAAAGCCAAAAATATTAAGGAGAAAAAAGCAAGGAACATTAGCATGCCTGCAGGACGGCCAGCAGTGAGGGCCGTCACTGCCTGACCTCAATGCCCAACCACAAGGAACTGAATGCAACTGCTTTCTGATGCCCCCGTGTCTTGGGGTACAGTGGGATGTCAGTTTATGGAGGTGACTGGGGACTTGGGGAGGTTAAAAAGAGGCTGCTGCCCACAGTTTCCTGGAGAGCAGAGTGTGCAGGGCCACACGGGCCACCTGGGAGCAGCAGGTTTGGTCAGGAGGTGAGGATGGAGGAGAGGCTGAAGTCAAATCCTTGAGGGGTTTCCTGGGAAGCTGGGCGGGGGTGGGGGGCGTGTGTGGCAGAGGGGACTGATGACTGGCTGAATTATCCTGCCAGGGCTGGGGTACAGATTGGTCCCTGCTGCCAGGGCCTGCTGCTGGGTTGGTTTGCAGCAGGGGACACAGTGGCTGAGAGCGTGGGTTCCAGATTGGCTGGCTGTTGGGAAAGGCATGAATAGTGTCACAGCTCCTAGAATGACCAGCTCCTCCCCAGCCAGCAAGGCCCTCTGAAGCCCTGATGCTAAATCACCATCAAATACAGAAAGTAAGAAAACATGATCAGTACACTTCTTGGCCTTCAAGAGGAGGTGTCTGGAGCCCTGAGACTCCAGGTGCAGGGGGTCCCACAGAAGTCAAACTCCAAGGTCACCTGGCTGTCCCATCTCACCGAGTATTGAACCCTTGGCAGCCAGATAGGAGAGGAAATGGGGTGGAAGAAAAATGCTGCCCTGAGGGGTCACATCTGGGGCCTGGGTTTGCCCACCCCTCACCTTCAAGGGCGGCATCGGCTGGGCATATAGCTCAGCCGCACAAGCACCTGCCTGGCAAGTGCAAGGTCCTGAGTTCCATTCCTGGCACCAAAACAAACAAAAAACCCGAAAGGCAGTATTTATGCCTTGAGTGGTTGTGGCCTCCAGGCAGGTGGCAGGGCACACATGCCTTGTGTCATCAGACCTCAGTCTTGAGTTTCCTTCCTCATTCACTTTGTCATCCCATTGAGGTACGTGCCTGAATCCCAGCACTTGGGAGGCTGAGGGAGGAGGATTGCTATGAGTTTGAGTCCAGTCTAAACTACATAGTGAGACTCTGAAAAAGGGGGAGGAAAGAAGGGCAGGCAGACAAACAAACATAGACAAAGAGACTGAGACACATGCACAACCTGGAAGTCGCATTGAGTCCCTGCTAGAATCCTTCAATTCCACACTCCCCCCAGGATGTACATGAGCTCCCTACCCAGCCCAGTAGAAAACTACATCTGTACAAAACACAAGAGAAACACTGGGGTCCCCACAGATGTCCACCTGCTTTGCAAAGATATTTATAGCAAACAGGTTTGTATGGTAATGCAGGTAATGATAGTCCATGGAGTAAGAAAAAGAACTGGACAAAATATGAAAACAGCAGGTGGCGTAAGCCTGTAATCCTAGCACTCTGGGAGGCTGAAGCAGGAGGATCCCAAGTTGAAGCCCAGCCTGAGCAACTTAATGAGACCCTGTCTCAAATTTTTATTTATTTATTTTTTTGGTTCTGGGAATTGAACTCAGTAGCTTGCGCTTGCCAGGGAGGTGCTGTGCTGCTGAGCTATATCCCTGGCCCTGTCTCAAAATTTTAAAAAGGGGTATTTGGCTCAGTGTGAAAGCCCTGAGACTCCTCCCCTCCCACACACAACATACCTGTGTCTGAAAGGGAGCAGCTGGCAGAAATGTCCTGTGTCTGTCTAGACTTCAAGGGGAGGCTTAAGACAGAAGGCAATGCTTCATTAATTACATGTGCATTGCAAAGGGAGCCACTAACAACTGAAATAGAGGCTACACCTTTAACTTTCAAAACTATAGAGCAGAAAGAATCAAATTAAGAGCTCAGGGTATATCTCAGTATCATATATGAGGCTAGAAAATACTCATCACTGTCAAAAAAAATTTGTTTAAAAAAAACTTAGGGCCAGGAATTTAGCTCAGTGGCCTAAGAGCCTGCCTGGCAAGCGTGAAGTTGTGAGTTTGATCCTGGTACCAAAAGCCTCAGAGGAAAAAAAAAAAAACAGAATTACAACAAAAATAGGGCAAATGGCAAGCCAATAGCAATAAACCCAAATGTGCCAGTAATAAACTATAAATGGACTTAACCTGCCAGTTACAAGAAAAAGTGTCAGATTTGAGAAAAAAAAAGTTATTTTCCCCTTAAAGAACATACATAAGCCAGGCATAATGGTTCATGCCTGCAATCTCAGAACTCAGGAGGCTGGGGCAGGAGGATCACCAGGAGTTTGAGGCCAGTCTGGGCTACACAGTGAGTTCAAGGCCAGTCATAATGACACAGTGAGGCCCTGTCTCAAAAAGCCAAAAGTAACAAATGACATGCATCATGCACACTTGAAATCCCAGACACCCAGGGGGCTGAGCGAGGAGGCTGACAAGTTCAGGGACAGCCTAGGCAACTTGGGGAGACCCTGCTCAAAGTAAAAGCATGATAAGGTGTCAGTACAGAGCTCAGCACTTCCTGGGTTCAGTCCTCAGTGCAAGAATGAGTGAAAGAATGGAAGAAATAGGAAGGGGGGAGGAAAGGAGGGAAAAAAGAAGGAAGAAAGAAAAAAAAGGGAAGGGACAGACATCTAAAACATGCTCAAAGCAAGACTGGAAAAAAATGGGTCATAAAACACTGTATTCCACAAATATAAAGAACAATTAGGAGGGCCCATGTTAATCACAGGGATAAAATAAACTTTAAGACATTACCAGGTGTGATCATTGCGTAAATTTGGGAAGATTTAACAACTGTAAGTATGAATGTGACAAATAAAATAGCAAACAAGTATTTACGGGAAAGGTGGGCAAATTCATTGTTACAGTGGTGATTGTAACAGAGCTCACAATTCCTGATAAATAAAGCTGGGTGTGGTGGCATGTGCTGTAATTCCAGCACTTGAGAGGGTGAGACAGGAGGACTGCCAAGAGTTCAAGGCCAACTTGGGCTACATAGTGAGACACTATCTAAAAAAAAAAAGACAGTTTTATCAAAAACTAGTAAAGATACTGGCGGGCTTGGTAGCACACACCTGTAACCCCAGCATTCAGGAGGCTGACGCAGGTGAACCTCAAGGTTGAGGCAGCCTAATCTACCTAAGTGAAGTCATGTCTCAGAAATGAATAAAACAAAAGAGATAAAACTACAGATATGTGAAATGGAAAATTCTTAGTAAATATGACTGGCCAACATTTGTTCAAAGAGAAATGAATGTCCAAACAGTTACTTGTCAGTGAAATCTGAATCAGTAAATGTCCTTCCCCAAAAAGCACAGGGCTCGGATGTTTGATTTTTTTCTCAAGGAGGCTCTCTTGGATTTGAAGAAAGAGATCATCTCAGTAGTGTAAAAACCCTTCTGGTGGACTGAACAGAAGGAACTCTTCCCCTCATTCTGAGACCAACGTAATTCCAGAGGGAAACCAGCTGAGACTCTGCACATAAGGGAAACCGCAGGCCAAAGTCATTCCATAACCCGCGTGTGAAAAACTGAAACCAACAGTTAACAAACTGAACCCCAAAACATATTTTAAAAAGACAAGGGGCTGGGGACTTAGCTCAGCGGCATAAGCACCTGCCTTGCAAGCAGGCGGTCATGAGTTCGATCCTTGGTACCAATAAAAATGAAAAAAAAGACAAAAACAAACAAACAAACAAAAGACAAACAATAGGGTAGAAAGGAGGGAAAGGAACAGGGTTGGCAGTAACAGAAATCAGCAGGGGACTCCAAGTCTCCAGTTCTGTTTATAAGATGCATTTCTCATCCTGACTCATAGGCACTTGGGAGCTCACTCATTACACTTTATACCTTTCTGCGTATTAGTAATATTAATACTTCACACTTCAAAAGATATGGCATTATTATTATGTATGTATAAAGTTAGCTTTAAATTTGATCAGAAGGCTGGGGATTTAGTTCAGCAGCTTAAGTGCCTGTCTTGCAAGTGCAAGGTCATGAGTTCAATCCCTGGTACCAAAAATTAAAATAAAATAAAATAAAATAAAGTAAAAAATAAATAAATTTTGCCATAAAAATTTTACTCAGGAAGCTGAAGTAGGAGGACCACAGCCAAGTTGTGGGCAATTTGGGAAGAAAACCTGGGCCATTTATGGAAATCTTGTCCCAAAATACAATTTAGGGCCAGGGATTTAGGGCTGGGGATTTAGTTCAGGGGTGTAAGTACCTGTCTGGCAAGTGCAAGGTGATGAGTTTGGTCCCCAGTACCTAAAAAAAAAAGTACAATTAAAAAAAAGGGGGGGGGAAGCCTGGGGATGTCTTATACAACAAAACAAACAAACAAACAAACGTAATGCAATTTCAGACAAACCTGAAGGGCTTTATGTCTGTGCTTTCTCTTTCAAAAATTTTCCACACATTTGGAGTTTACTGTGACCCTCTTTCTGGGAGATTCAAGTTTCTCCTCTCATTCGGGTGCTGGGTTCTAAGAAGGAAGACTGGTTTATGGTCCTGAGAAGGAAAGTTGTCTAGACCAGACTCTTGTCCAGCTCCACTGTTTGCATCAAAAGCCCAAAAAATCACTTGCTTTCTTGTTTATCATTTATACCTCAGTGCTGAAGGTTTTAATGTCAACATTTTTAAATGGAATAACACTTTGGTGGAGCACATGGTGGCACATTCCTATAATCCCCAGCACTCCTAGAGGCTGAGTCAGGAGGATGGCCTTGAGTTCAAGTCAGATGCTGTCTCAAAAAAAAAAAAGAAACACCACCCCAAAAAAGTAACTTTGGTTACTTAAAATATTGCTGTGCCTCACAGTAATCCGATGAAAACATCAGGTAAATTCAAGAGAATCTGCTAAATAACTACCCACATTCTTCAAAAGTGTCAAGGGTAAGAATTAGGAGAGATGGGGAAACCATCTCAGATGGGGGCACTGAGGCGCCATGAGCACGAAGTGTCACATGGAGTCCCAGATTGGATCTCAGAACAGAAAAAGAACATGACTGAGAAAGCCAGGGCGTTCAGAGTGGCCTGTGCTCAGTTAACAGCACTGCAGAACACTAATGTCCTTGTTTTAATAACTGCATTATGATTTCTGCAAGACATCAGCAGCGGGGGAGAGTAAAGGGTATGAAGAAAACACTAATGTGTTTGCAAATGTGTTCCCCTTATCCACAGATGGAATTAATGAACAGAAGGTTAATGGTAAACTTATACAGAAAGGAAAAAAGGTGGCTTCCTAAAGCTACAATGGTGGGGGTGGGCGTCCGTTTCTCTGTGGACATGGCCAGCTTCCTGGGGACCGGGGTCCATCTAAGCACTCAGTGCTGGCTGTCACGCTCCATTTCCACCTGGAGATGAAGCCTGGGGAGGGAACAAAGTGGAGAGGGCCCGAGTGTCACAACCGCTGCAACTGTTGCCAGGTCTCCTCCAGGGGAGCGAGAGAGTGGGCACAGACACCTGGGAACACCTGCCCCTGCTCAGGAGGTGCTGGGAAGGGGACACCTGCCCACAGGGGATTCGCCTCGTCCAATCCTTGGGTCCTTGTCCTCGGTGGCTCACGGTCCTGTCCGGCATGGCAGGCTGCTTGGGATCCGTGCTGCTGTTGCTGCTGTTGCTACTGGGTGAGCCCCTATCTTCCTGCTAGATCCCAGCTCTTTGCACCAGGTCCTCCCAGATGGGAAAACCAGAAGTGATCCCAGGAAAACTGGGACACAGGCAGGGGTATCTGTTGGGGAGCCTGTGCTCAGGGACTGGGGACACCTGGCCTTGCAACTCATCTGGGGACCCAGCTGAACCACCCCCCTCCCAAGGCTGGTCTGGTACCCAGGGACTTTCTGTCTGCCCCAGGGACTTTCTTTTCTGTGCCCTGAACTCCACTCCCAGTCTGGACCTCCATGCCCTGCGTCTGCTGTGCCCCCTTCCAGGGCTGCCCTCCTTCACTGGGGCCTCAGGAGGCAGGGCAGAGACTCTGTGGGGAACGGAGTCTGGTAAAGGTTTACAGTGCAGAGTTTGGAGCTGGGACTGGAGAGGAGGTCTGGGTGCAAAGGCCAGCTGGGTCCAAGAGTTCAGGTGACACAGGTGCTCCTGCAGTTGCTGTGCTCGGCAAGGCTGGTGGGGAAGACAGAGCACCTGCTCTCTAGGCCTCAGGCCTCCCTCCATCGGGGAGAGATGGACCGGAAGGGACAGAAAAGGAGGCCCCTCCTCTTCTGTGCCAATTCCAAGTCCTCGGTGTGTCTGTCCTTTGTGCAGACCAGAAGGCACTGAAGCTACAGCAAGAACCATGGTCCCCACCGTCAACCTTCAGCCCAGAAAGATAGCAAGTGCCAGAGGGGCCGCCCAGCCCAAGATGAGGGGCAGGCTGGGCCCTCTTCCTCAGACTGTAGTGCCACAAAGGGTTCTAGTCTTTGCAGTCTATTTGGAAAGGGAGGGGGCCCGACAACCTGGTGTTGGTAAATCAAGTCCTAGGACGGGATTGTCAAGTCTACTGGGTACTCGGGCGGGGCTGGATGGTGTCGTCTCTGGGCACAGCTCATCTGTCCACAAGAGCCCCTGATGTGAGGCTCTACCACGCCAGACCCCACGTGGTGTGTCACTTGTCACTGTGCTACTCCACTGCAACCCAGGACGCACCCTGAGGTCCTGAGTTCAGCACTAGGTTCTATGGCAGCCATCCTGGCTTCTCTCCATCCACATCCTGCGGCCGGCCGTCAGGGACCTTTCCTTGGCTGATGGAGGCTGGAGGGCTTGGGAGGCCAGAGACCACGTGGGGCAGGCTGAGTGAGACCCTGACCACAGAGGGCTGGAAGGAGGGAGAACTAGACAGCTACAGACCACCCGAGGTGCTCCACGAGGCGGAAGAGTGGAGAAGAAGAAAGGTCAGGCACCCCAAAGTGGCCAAAGAGGCCATACGGGGCATCCACTGTCCTCGGTGCTATGTCTGCGAAGTCTCCATTAGCCAGGCCGCCACGACGCCTCAGTGTTGCGCCGTCAGGTGGGACTGCGGTTGGAAGGAGCACCGTGGAGCTCTTCTGGTGGTGTGGAGCAGTTTGGGGGATGGTAGTTGTGACTGGAGAGGGTGATTTGGTGCAGGGACCAACACAACCCGCCACTACTCAATCTCGCCAACGTGGTCAGGTCAGGGGCATTCGGCCAGGCTTCTGGGCCACACTGTCCCCACCCTGGATTCTGAGTGTCACTCAACTTCCGAGGTGGCCAGGGAGAAGCCAGTAAGGTGCACGGTGAACTGCAGCCTGCCCTTCCTTCATCAGGGTCTGCGAGCGACGCCGGAGGGAACCGCTGCGTCGACGCGGCCGAGGCGTGCACGGCGGACGCGCGGTGCCAGCGGCTACGCACCGAGTACGTGGCGCGCTGCCTGGCGCGGGCTGCGCCCCGGAGCTGTCCCCGCGCCCGCTGCCACCGCGCCCTGCGCCGCTTCTTCACCCGCGGACCGCCCGCGCTCACCCACGCGCTGCTCTTCTGCCCGTGCGCAGGCCCCGCGTGTGCCGAGCGCCGGCGCCAGACCTTCGTCCCCGCCTGCGCCTTCTACGGGCCGGGCACCGTGCGGCCCCCCTGCCTGGAGCCCTTGGACGCCTGCGTGCAGAGCCGGGTCTGCAGGTGCTGGGGGTGCGGATGGGGGGCACTCGGGCCGGGCGATCCCCGCTCACCACCGCCCTGCCGCCCGCACAGGCCCCGTCTCCTGGCCTTCCAGGCTTCCTGCGCTCCGGTCCCCAGCACCCCAGACGGCTGCCAGCGCGACCAAGGTCTCCGCTGCCTCCGCGCCTACGCGGGCCTCGTGGGTACGCCTGACCCTGGTCCAGGGGCGGGCAGAGCCTCTCCTAGGGTGCCTCTGTACTACGGTAGGCCTGTGACCCGGCCCTCGGTCTCACCGCAGGCACGGCTGTTACCCCCAACTACGTTGACAACGCGAGCGCGCGCGTGGCGCCCTGGTGCGACTGCAGAGCCAGCGGAAACCGGCGGGAGGAGTGCGAAGCCTTCCGGGGGCTCTTTACCAGGAACCAGTGCTTGGGTGAGCGAGGAGCGAGGCGTCTACTGGCCCTTCCCGAGTCACCTTGTTGGCAGGAGCCCACTTTAAAGGAAAGGAAACTTTAAAGGAAAGGAAACTTGCGATAGCCTTGCAGGCATCCTCTGTCTCCAACCCTCGCTGTCGCTTTACCCCTGGGAATTGCGCCCAGGTCCCAATCCCCAGGAGGTACCAGGGCAGGTAGAAGGGAGCGAGTTAAAACAGGTTTTTGAGGACCTGGAATTGAACAAGGTGAGACTCCTACTTCCGGCATTTCTAAGCGCCCCCCCCCCCCATGGACGTGCTCCCAGGTGCTACAGCTGGCGCTATTACCCCTTGGAGTCTGATGGTTTTGTAGTCTGGGAGTTAAAAGGCCTGAGTTGTGGGCTCTTACTCCATAGATGGGGCCATAGGAACCTTTGACAGCAGGTGGTCTGGACTCCTGCAAGTCCAGCTGGACCCTCACCAGGACCCTGGATACAACCTCCTGCAGGTAGGTGCGGGGAGGAGGTGGTGAACTAACAGTTCCTTGAGTTTCCTCTTGCAACTTGCCATGCCAGGAGGGTGAGAAGGAAGCAAGCTTGTCCTGGGAAGGGGGTACAGGCGGCACCAGGCTCCTGCCTCAAGTCCTCACTCTGCTCCCACCCCTAGGTGTCCTCTGCCGCTGGGCCCCTGAAGGAGAGCTCCCTGCTGTCCATATTCCCTGTCCTGGCACTCCGGCCCCTACTGTGACACCACCACTCACTGTAAAGGGACCGGCTGCCTGTGTGCCTTTGCCCTGGAGTGAGGATGGAAGCTGGGGGCTGGGCCACAAAGCCTCCAGTTTCCCATTCAGTAGGGATTTTTTTTTTTTTTTTTTTTTTTTTTTGGTACCAGGGATCAAATTCTCCACTGTGTGCTTGCACAGCAGGCGCTGAGCTAAATCCGCAGCGCTCAGTAAGGATTTTAGGTCCCTTTCTTCACAGGCTTGAGACCACTAGAGTCTCCCTGGGGTAGGACAGGAGAGGGTGGGCTTATAGCCAGGCTGCACTGGTGCCATGATCTCAGCGATCATCTGGACTCTTAGGACTCTTGGACACTCTATCTGCTCCCCAAGCAGCTAACACTCTAAGGAACACACCTGAGTGGACTTACAGGCACAGCTACCCTAGCAGCTACTGCAGCCTTTTAGGGCACCCACTGTAGATCCGCCTGCGCCCCAGGGCTAATGTGGCTCAGTGCTTCCTGTCCATGCTGTGCTGCTGGGTAGCTGCCACCTGGATGAGAATCCGGTCCCTGTCCTGTCCTATCTCGTATTGGCTTATGGGCCCATTTTTCCTCATGGCTTGTCCCCAGCGCTGGGAGTGGCACACCAAGCTCAATAAACCCTGTTGCACTGAGGCTGACCTTGTTCTCTTGTTGTCTGTGTCGTGGAAGCCGGGAGATCAGGCTGTGCCACATGGTGTGCTCTGCTGTCCTGTGTGGGCTCAGATGGCCCCAGAACCTCTTCGGGTTCTGCTTTCTCCCTTACAGATGCCAAATGAATCCATTCTCAGGTCCTGTGGGAGAGGTTTTCTTTGTTTTTGTTTCTTCCTTCTCTGCTAGTTTTCAGGTAGAGAAGCTACATTTGCCAGGCCACGTAACATACCCTAGCCAGCGTGATCCAGCTAGACCTGGGCAATCTTAAATTGCTGTGCTGAAGGTGTCACCCAGTGGGAGAGTTTGTCTAGCATGCATGAGGCCCTGGTTTCCACCTTAGCAGTAAATAAATATAAACAGACAACAAAAATGACGAGCAGCTGTGTGAAGGAGTCTGGGGAGAAGAGGGTAGCAAGCCTCTGTCTGCTTAGTATATATATACTAAGCCTCTGTCTGCTTGCTTCCTCCTAAAAGCATGGAGACCCCTAACACAGCTCATAGCTGTCCCCTTCTCTGGAGAATCACTGCTCAGTGGGGTTCACACTGCTGCTGAGGTGACTGCAGCTCAGGACTGAGTGAGGCAGGCAGGAATGTAAAGGCCTGGCCTGCCTGCCTTGGGGCATGTCATGGCTTGTGTCAAGATGCACCCTCCCCCCCAAGCCTCATGCGGTCATAGGTGGGGCTTTTTCAGAGGTGGCTGAACCTAGAGTGTGGGATTAATTCGTAGTACAATCCTAGGATTAAGGGTAGGTGACTACTAAATCAAAATCAGTACACTGATTGGTTTAGCACCGCCCTGATCAGTAGCCTGGATACAATCTAAGGAGCAGAGAGAGGCTCATCTTGTCCCTTGTTTGCTTTGCTACCTTCTGCCTGTGATGGCTCTGGTGTCTGCACTTGGATTGCAGACCTGGCCATGGGCTGACTGTCCCCTGGGGCAAGGTCTCTGTTCCCGATTCCCCAGCTGGCAGGTGGCCAGGGGAGAGGCAGAAAGGCAGGTGCTGGGCTGAAAGTGTCCATGGATTTATTACCGGAAACTTCATGGCTCTTGAATGTGTCCCTGGCTGACAGCCCAGTGTCTAGGGACAAAGCTGGTATGGAAACAGCTCACTGCCCACCTCCCCAGGTAAGTTAGGCCAGCCTCCCTGAACCTGCTGGTGGACACTGGCCAGTGAACTTCACAGAGACTAAGGGGATGGCAATTGTGCAAGGCTTCTAGAGCAGTGCTCAGCAGGACAGCAGCTTGCCAGGGAGGCTGACACACTGGGAAAGCAGGTGGGCACATCATCCCACGTTGCTGCCTGTGAAGGCCAGAGTTGAAGGAGATCTTGTGACACTGTTCTGCCAGGGACTCGTCACCCCATACCCAGTGAGCCTTCAGACCAAGGCTGACAGTACAGAGAAAAAAATGAGTTTCCACATAAGTGAATAAAACACACAGCCAGGTGTGCTTATACACATCTGTAATCCCAGGTATTCAGGAGGCAGAGGCAGGAGTATAAAAGTTCAAGCCCATCTGGGCAAATTAGTAAGACCCTATATTAAAAATTTTTTGTAATATTATTATTATTATTTTATTGAGATGGTGTTTTGCTATGCAGTTCCGGCTGGCCTTGAGCTCACTTTGTAACCCAGGCTGGTCTAGAACTCTTAACGATCCTCCCACCTCAGCCTCCCGAGTGCTGGGATTACAGGGATGAGCCACCACGCCTGGCTATATATTATTTTTTAAAAAAGTCTTTTTGAGGCAGGGTCTCAATATGTAGTTTAGGCTGGTCTTGGGCTTACTGTATAGTCCATTTTGGCCTTGAACTACCAGTGACCCTCCTGCCTCAGCCTCCCAAGCAACTGAAATTATTACAGGTGTGTGCCACCATGCACAGCAAAAAGAAATTTTAAGGACTGAGGATATCTCAGTGGTAGAGTCTTTGCCTAGCATGTGTGAGGCCCTGGGTTCCATCCCCAGTATTACAAATAGATTAAATTTAATACACAAACTCAAACGACAGGCATTAAGGGACAGAGATTAAGCAGTTGAGAGGCAAAGCTTTACAGATGGGCCCTGGCTGCAGAGCTGAGACCAGCTCTTCCTAGCACTCCTTACCATCTCTGAGGTCAGCTGCCAGGTCCCTTTCTCATGTTGTGGACAGCTGGTCCTTGCAGTCACCTGCAGAGCCACAGGATGCTGTTCAGAAGGGACCAACTGGTCCATGGGGTTGGAGACTCAGATGCTAACAGTGACCTCACAGTTGGTGAAATTTCCAAAATGATAACCAGCTCGTGGTAAATCTTTTGAGGAAACAAACTTTAGTCCTCCTTTGATTTACGTGGTGGTTGAATTTCTGAAAAACTGATTGTGTATTAAACCAGCTCAAATGCTTTTTTAAGAATATGGTTAGGCTCTGTGTTAGAATAATTAGAAAGAGGTTTATTTTTTCATCTACACAGACAGCATCGAGATGCCTGAAATTCTGGCGTGATGCAGGTCAGGTCCTCTATGGGTCCGGCTGGTCCCACATATCACAGGGTATCTGTCTTCATCAGTGCAATAGGCAAGACTGCCATCGAGGCCCCTGGACGGTGTCCCCTGGAGGCAGTCTTGTGTTCCACAGTTCCACTGAACCTGTGGTCCAACGTGTCCCACCGTACCCTCATTTTGTCTCTGCTTTGCTCCAGTCACCCCACCTGGTGAGCTTGGGATCCCTCAGGCATGCTGCTGGCCTCAGGGCTTCTGCACCTGCTGCTGGTTTGACTTGCTCTGTTCTGCTGTCACCTGATCAGAATGACCTTCTCCAGCCACACCATGAGGTGGCAACCCCCCAGCATTTCCTACCCCAACCCAACTTGCGCCTCTCATCCCAGAACTTATCATCTGATGTTTTATACATACTGCCTCCCACATGAGGAGGCTGTAAACTCCTTGAGGATAGGAGATTTTGTTTTTCTCCCTGAAAAATCTCTGGTTCCTTCACAGTGCCTGGCCCTGTTGTGTCCAAGAAAACAAACAAACAAACAAACAAACAAACAAACTGTTGAATGGTCATACTTAGGCAGGGTAAAAAAAGATAGCTATTTCCCATACCTTCGGTCTACAGTGCTGTGTTCTACAGTCACCTGGGGTCCCAGGTGCTCTGACTCTATTCCAATACCGTCTTCTTTTGGAGGAGGTTAATGGATGGTGGAGGAGACATTCGAGACCTTGACACATCATTGGTGAGAACTGATTACTTATCTCCACCCAGATGCCTGCATCCTGTGCAGTACAGGTGACACTGGGGACTCAGGAGGAGGAAATGTGTGCTGAGTACCTGGCTGATGTGTGGCATGATTGCTGTCCTGGACAGGAAACATAGGCACCCTCTCCTAGGGGAACAGTACAAGTCCCATCCCACCCTGAGCTCCAGGTGATGCCCTGCATTAACAACTGACCTTCCGCACCCCGAGAGATAGGGGTGAGGTGGAGCAAGGTGCCCTCATTAATGCTGTAGTATAGGCAGGATGGTGGCTCGTGCATAGCAATAACTGGTTTTCAAGTCCTGCAGGCCTGCCCTAGGTGGGAGGGCCTTGCCAAGCCTAGTTCTGTCCTCTGCAGACACAGCTTTCATGGCTCTTCTTGCCAGAGGGCAGCTGTAAGCTGCCAAACCACCAAACCTCACCAAACCAAACCTGTCAGACGTTGCTACCCAGCTTCAGGGGCTTGGAGAGACCCTGGGGAGTTGTGAGGAGATGGGGGAAAAGGGGCAAGGGCAGTCATGAGTTTTGTCTTTGTTTTAAAGGCTGTACTCAAGATTTCTCAAACTTACTGTAACTTTCTCTTTATGGTGCTGGGGATCGAACCTGAGGCCTTGCACATGCTAGGCAAACGCTGTACTTCAGAGCTGCGTCCCAGGCAGGACTCGTCACATGCTTATGGTTGTTTCCCTGACAAGCAGTGCCTGCATTCTTGGTTCCTTTCTGGACAGTTCCACGTCGGCTTTATTCTTTGCGTCCTCCACATGGTGGCCTGAGGTTACCAGGCTCACTGGGGAGGCCACCGCCTCCAAGACCCACTCACTGTCTTTAAGTCTCACAGGGCTTAGCTGCTCACCAGCACCTTTTGTTTGGGGGGAGAAGCAGTTAACTTTCCTTCACTGCAAGGCCCTGGACTAGGACTCTCCAATGTGGCAACAACAAAACATGACACACTGCTTTTTCTTGCTTTTCCCCCCGACCCTGAAACTCGGTAGGCATGTGATTTGTTCCCCAAGTCTTCCCAGATGTTTTGCCATTGCTTGGCAGGGACCTCATATTCCTCCTGCTGTCTGTTGTCTCACTGCCCACCACCTGCTGCTAAGCCAAGGTCAAGTCTTATAGGTTTGGGTTATAGGTGCATCACACTTCAAGGTACTGGTTTGTATGTCGGAGTGAGAAACGCCCTATTGTAACAAGGGCTCTAATCTCAGGGAAAGATTGCCTGTCTGTGACACAAAGCTCAACCCAGCACTTACTGACCAGCTGGTTTGCATGAAAGTGGTGACTCAGGAACCCGCTCTCCCTCTGACATCTCGAACATGTGGCCCCCAGGCAGAGTCCTACAGAGAAGCATTTCAGCACCAAGTCTGGAACTGGTGTTATCACTTTTTCCGACACTGCATGACCATGACCCTGTCTGGTCCCAACCTAACTGGCGAGAGGGCTGGGAACTGTAGCCCTTCATGTCTCACAGCTTGTCTATGGCACCCACTTTGATGGCCTCATCCCTCCAGGACTTTGAGCACTGGGAGTCTGCACTGGGCACTGAAATGAACTGCTCAGACCCCTCCTGTAGGCGGAGCCAAAGAAAGTGGGGCTGAGCACGCAGGCCTTCGTAAGAGGCTGCGTGAGTGCAGACATCATCTAAAATGCAAGGCCAAGGACAATGCAATGGCCACCCAGGATGGCACCCGAGTCTAGGGCTGGGCCGAGCGGAGGTGTGGGATCCAGGGGAAAGCCTGATGCCACAA